AAAAAGGAGAAAGGAAAGATTGAAAAAGACTGAAAAGGAAGGATGGAAAGGAAGGGGTGCCCTCTTAACTTCCCCCCCCATCTCTCTCTCTCTCTCTCTCTCTCTCTCTCTCTCTCTCTCTCTCTCTCGCTTCCTCTGGCTGCCCAATTCAAAATCCATGCAGGGGTCTGAAGATAAAATAAAATATTATTCCTCTCCACACACATCGCCCCCCCCCCCAAAAAAAACACCTCTCTGAACAATACAGGAGGAGAAATTCACTCCGGCTCGGTTGCAAATCAAATGGATAAACTGAGAGTGAATTTGAAGAGGTTCTCAAAAGCTTGGGCAGATATTTTTTTTTTAAAAAAAACCTTGCTTGCGAGTAAACATCTCCTGGAGGATGCTAAGACCTTAACATTTCAAACCTTAAATATTTCTCCCTAAAGGAAGGCAGAGTTTTCCCTTCCCCAGGCAAAAAAATTCTCAACAAGGATGGGTCTGTTTCTCTGCTTTTTGAAGGGGGAACTGGCTTTCCCTTCGGCTCAGGGCTCCCATCGCCACCAAGGATAAAAAGAGAGGAGGGGAGACCCCCCCAAACGAATCCCCAGTGCCCACTTTTTTATTATTATTACATAGGCTCATTTCCTGAATATTTCTCCCGAAGACCTGAGTAAATATTCTCCTTTAGCGCCTTCCTTAGCTAGGGTGCAGCTTCCAGATGTGAAGTTGGTCCGTTTTTTTTAAAACAGACAAAACCACCAACTCCATCCTCACCGTCATAATCCACTTTGGCTGGAAACGCTTTCTGCCTCCCATCTCTGGGTGATTGGGGGAAGGGGGGAAGGGGGGAAGGATGTGCCCCTGTTTTTGGGGGCGCAAGAGATTAGTCATGCTTGGCCCAAGCAATGAGATTTTTCCTGGCTGCCTAAATGCAGATTGGAATTTTGGATTTCTCAGTTGCTAAAGAATTGATCTATGGGGGGGGGGAGATTCACCTCCCTCTCCCCTTTCTTACTCTTGGGGGTCTTTCCTCCAGCTTCCTTGTGGTTCTGAACGAGAAGGGGTCTGAAGATAAAATAAAATATTATTCCTCTCCACACACATCGCCCCCCCCCCCAAAAAAAACACCTCTCTGAACAATACAGGAGGAGAAATTCACTCCGGCTCGGTTGCAAATCAAATGGATAAACTGAGAGTGAATTTGAAGAGGTTCTCAAAAGCTTGGGCAGATATTTTTTTTTAAAAAAAAACCTTGCTTGCGAGTAAACATCTCCTGGAGGATGCTAAGACCTTAACATTTCAAACCTCAAATATTTTCCATTCTTTTTGCTCTGCTCAGCTCTGCCTTCCTTCTTCTCCTCTCTCCCTGCCTCTCTCTTTAAAAAAAAACAAAAAACTTTTCTGTGTTTTAACCTCTTTCCTTCTTTTTTTTAGTGGAGTTTCCTTCCATTTAATTTCTCCTATTTCCTTCCTTCTTTCCTTCCCAAATCTCTTTTTTCCCCTTTTCTTCCTTTCTTATTCTTTTCCTCCTTCTCTCTCCTTCCTTCCTATTTTATCCTCCCCTTTTCTCCTATTTTCTCCCTCCTCCTTCCTTTGTTCTTCTCCTTCCATCTCTCCTTCCTTCTTCCCAAATGTGCAGATTCTCTTTTCTTCTTTGTTTTCTCCCCTTCTTTCTCCTTTTCCTTTTCTTCTTTCCTTCCGTCTTTTCCTTTCCTTCTTCTTTCCTTCCTTCCTTTTTTATGTTTTCTCCCTTTGTCTTCCTCTCCTTCCTTCCTTCCTGCCTTCTCTCCTTCCTTCCTTCCTTGTTGCCTTTCTCCCCTACCCCCATTGCTATGCAGGACTCACCCTCCCCCCCTTCCTTCTCCTGAATCTGCATGGTCTCATTAGGACCCTTTGAAACCCAGATTCCAACTTTTCAAGCTTAGCCTTTCACATCTAGCTTCCAAGATACATTCCTTCCTTCCCTCCCTCCCTCTCTCCTGTCTCTCTCTCTCTTATTGTTATTCATTCTTAGGCCTGCCTTTTATCTGTAAATCAGATTTCTGATTCTCTTCTTCTAAATCTCTGCCAGGATTTCAAGCTTCTAATTCTACCCCTCAAAAATCTTAGATTTGAGATGATAGCTAGCTAGCTAGATAGCTGGATGGATGGTTGGATGGATGGTTGGATGGATAGATAGATGATAGATAGATAGATAGATAGATGATAGATAGATAGATAGATATGGATGGAGATAGATAGATAGATAGATAGATAGATAGATAGATAGATAGGCAGATAGACAGATAGCCAGATGACATAGATAGATAGATAGATATGGATGGAGATAGATAGATAGATAGATAGATAGATAGATAGATGATAGATAGATAGATAGATAGATAGATAGATAGATGATAGATAGATAGATAGATATGGATGGAGATAGATAGATAGATGATAGATAGATAGATAGATAGATAGATAGATAGATAGATGATAGATAGATAGATAGATAGATAGATAGATAGATGATAGATAGATAGATAGATAGATAGATAGATGATAGATAGATAGATAGATAGATAGATAGATAGATAGATAGATATGGAGATAGGATAGAGATAGATAGATAGATAGAGATATAGAGATAGAGATAGATAGATAGATAGATAGATAGATAGATAGATAGATAGATAGATAGATAGATAGATAGATATGGATGGAGATAGATAGATAGATAGATAGATAGATAGATAGATAGATGATAGATAGATAGATAGATAGATAGATAGATAGATAGATAGATAGATAGATAGATAGATAGATAGATAGATAGATAGATGATAGATAGATAGATGGAGATAGATGAGATAGAGATAGATATAGATAGATAGATAGATAGATGATAGATAGATAGATAGATAGATGATAGATAGATAGATAGATAGATATAGATAGATAGATAGATAGATGATAGATAGATCGATATAGGATGGAGATAGAGATAGATAGATATAGATAGATAGATAGATAGATAGATAGATGATAGATAGATAGATAGGATGAGATAGATAGATATAGATGATAGATAGATAGATATGGATGGAGATAGATAGATAGATAGATAGATAGATAGATAGATAGATAGATAGATAGATAGATAGATAGATATGGATGGAGATAGATAGATAGATAGATGAATAGATAGATAGATGGATGGAGATAGGATAGATAGATAGATAGATAGATAGATAGATAGATAGATAGAGATAGATAGATAGATAGATAGATAGATAGATAGATAGATAGATAGATAGATAGATAGATAGATAGATAGGATGGAGATAGATAGATAGATAGATAGATAGATAGATAGATAGATAGATAGATAGATATGGATGGAGATAGATAGATAGATAGATAGATAGATAGATAGATGATTGATAGATAGATAGATAGATATGGATGGAGATAGATAGATAGATAGATAGATAGATAGATAGATAGATAGATAGATATGGATGGAGATAGATAGATAGATAGATAGATAGATGATAGATAGATAGATAGATAGATAGATATGGATGGAGATAGATAGATAGATAGATGATAGATAGATAGATAGATAGATAGATATGGATGGAGATAGATAGATAGATAGATAGATAGATGATAGATAGATAGATAGATAGATAGATAGATGATAGATAGATAGATAGATAGATAGATAGATGATAGATAGATAGATAGATAGATAGATAGATGATAGATAGATAGATAGATAGATAGATAGGCAGATAGACAGATAGCCAGATGACATAGATAGATAGATAGATAGATAGATAGATAGATAGATAGATAGATAGATGATAGATAGATAGATGCTTGCTTCCCTTTAGCATCTCATGTTGAAGAGATCTTCAGGGCTGCTTTTCTGCTGGAAGAGTTTTCTCACCTCCCTCGTGGCTCAATTAAGTGGATTATTGTCTTCCTACAGAGAGAAATCAACTTGCTTGTCTACTCTAAAACCTGCCACAAGGATGTTTGAGCATAAAGCCCCTTGTCACCCCCCTCACCCAGCTGATGTAAAGCGAAGAGGCTGCGTTCAAGAGAGTCTGCCTTCGCACAAATAAGCCCACTCTCTCTTAAGGCAGAGAGACAACGGATGAGGGAAAACCGTACACACCCAAACACGCAAGAGACGGACTTGAATTAATCATCCTCCTTGCAACCGGGACTTGCCAATCATCCAGCCGGTTGGTGTCCACGGTCCAAACCGGATTAAAGGAAAGCAGTTTCTATCGCCCAGTGGCAAAAACTTTGCAACAGAGAAGAAAGTGTGAACTCCAAAACGAGAAGGAGGATTCTAAGAAGACAAAGAAAGGCGAAAGGCCGGATCTCCCGTTTCCACATATCTAGAAAATCTGATTCCTTTAAAAATAGGAAAACCTGTTTCCTATTTAAGGATGTAAAGATACAAGCTCGTTTTTCCTGCCTTTGTCTTGTATGGAAGAAAATGTTTCTGCTTTTTCCTAGAAGAAATAAGAAAGTTTTTTCTCCTTGCTGCTTGTGGACGACTCTTTCTAGAACTGTCATTCGTGTTTGGTTATGTTTTTATTCCATAAAACATAGGAAACACAGGAAAATTGTCCATTTTGACCCTTCCCTTGGGACAAAATTGCAGTGATTTAAAGAAACAATTTTGGAAATGACATTCCAAGACTGGCACGAGCCATAATTTATTTGCAGAAGATTATTAGATTGATAACTATGATGCCCACTTTTTGGGAAGAATTCCAGGATATAATACTGTAATACTAATAATATTAATAGTCTGGCTCGTTTTCTAAGGAGGCCGAAACTAGATTTGACACAATTCAGGCTAGTTTTGTAGAAAATAAGGATGATTTGTTAGAAAGGATTACTGGTAGAAGTGGCCATGCTTTTGATTAATCTCTTTACAACTGGTTCAGTTTCTGTACCAACAAGATTTTTGGGACAACATTTAAAAAATGGGATGAAGCAAAGGATTCTTACTTTCATAGCAAGTTTGTCTCCGAGGATGCCCACATCTCAACGTCACCTTGGCCTCCTGCAGAAACGAGTTCAGGATCAGAAGAAACCCTTTGAAAAGCAAAACAACTTGTAAGAAATAAAGGGAGACCCATGAGGAAGAAGAGGAAGAGGAAGAGGAGGAGGAGGAGGAGGAGGAAGAAGAAGAAGAAGAAGAAGAAGAAGAAGAAGAAGAAGAAGAAGAAAAGAAGAAGAAAAGAAGAAAAAGAAGAAGAAGAAGAAGAAGAAGAAGAAGAAGGAGAAGGAGAAGGAGAAGGAGAAGGAGAAGGAGAAGGAGAAGGAGAAGGAGAAGAAGAAGAAGAAGAAGGAGAAGGAGAAGGAGAAGGAGAAATTATAAAGGCAATTTATGCCCTCCTCATCACCTGCATTCAGAATAAAGTTGAATCAGGATTGCATAAAGGTGGGACTGGGTGTAAATGAGGAGTTAATCCCATATCTTTCTTTTCAAAGTGGGGTTCTCCTGCAGGGGTCTTCAAGGACCATTTTTTCCCAGGGTCTTCTTATCCCACATGGTTCAGGGGTTGGGTGGCTAGTAGCCCCCTTTTCTGCAACCCCAATCCCCATTTGCCCCACAAAACTCATCTCAACACATTCTTCTACCACTCCATGTCTACTTCAGATCTTCGGCTCTTTTGAAACAAGGGATGGAAACTAATCAAGGAGAGAAGGAATCTGAAATAAAGGAGAAACTTCCTGACAGTGGGGACAATTAACCAGTGGAACAGCTTGCCCCCCATAAATCATGGGCTCTCCATCACTGGAGATTTCAAAGAAAAGATTGGCAGCCACTTGTCTGAAAGGGTATGGGGGGGCTGGACTAGAAGACCTCCAAGATCCCTTCCAGCTGATTGATTGATTGAAATGTTCCTCTCCCCAAATAAATATATTTGTTTTTAAAAAGGATAGTGGATTTTCAGTTCAGCTTTTTTAAAGCCCCTCTGTCCTTTAAAACAACACGCGTCTCCACCACCTTGCTGTTTTTTTTCCAAAACGAGGTCTATTATTTATGCCAATTTTACATTCGGAGCGTAGAATCAGCCTGGACAGCCCCAAAGGACTTTGTGCAGAAAGCTATTGAGGGAAGGATCCGTGATCTGGCTGGGCTGATTACATCTATTAATTGTTTAATAATTGATTGTTTGATTATTATTTAATGACAAAGGTTGCAAATGAAAGGAGAGGAATATGTTTGGGCTGTTGCCACTGTGTGTAAAACGTGGCACCAGGCAGGCAGTGCTGTGTGTTGTGTGCGCCTGTGTGGGGGGTTTTTTTGGGGGGGAGGGGGGGTGTCACTTTGCAGAGGAAACAGCAAAGCTCCTTTTGATTATATATTTGAAATGGGCATAGCTCACCTTTTTTTCACCACCCCGCCCCAGTTCTATTGGACTACAATTCCCATCTTCCTATGGGCATACTTCTGGGTAAACCTACCTGGAGTTTGGGGGGGTGGGGGGAGAGAAGCAAATGGTTTTGTGTGTGCAAATTTATTAGGAGAGGGTCTCATGAAAGTGAAGGGAAGTTACTCCTGAGTAAACAGCAGTGGGATCTTTTTGTCATGATAAATCCACAGAAGCTAGTGGACACCCTTAACTCTGTTCCTGTGAAAAATATTTTCCTTCCTTCCTTCCTTCCTTCCTTCCTTCCTTCCTTCCTTCCCTCTCTCTGCCTTCCTTCCTTCCTTTAATTTTCCCCTTCCTTTCTTTTAAATGTGTTAACTTTCTCATCTATTCTCCACATTTTCCTTTTCTCCTGCCCTTCCTTACCACTCTTCATTCCTGCTCTATCTTCTCTTTCAGGTTTTCTTTATTTTATCTGTCATTTCCTTTCCCTTCCTCTCTTTTTCTCTTTCTTCTCTTCCTTTGCCCTTCTCTTTTCTTCCCTTTCTTTATCTATTTACCAGCTTCCTCTCCCATCCCTTCCCTTTTCTCACTCTTTTCTTTTTCTTTCCCTTTCTATTTTTTCCTTTCCTTTCATCCCCTTTTCTTTCCCTCCTACTCTCTTCCTTTCTTCCCTCCCACTCTCTTCCTTTCCTTTCCTTCCTTTCTCCCCATCCTTTCTTTCCCTTCCCTTCCTTTCTTTTCCCTTTCCTTCCCCTTCTCTTTTCCTTTCCTTCCTCTCTCTCTTTTTCCTCTCCCTTTCCTTTCTCTCTCTTTTCTTTCTTCTCTCCTTCCCCACCACCCTTTCCCTTCCCTTCTCTTCCTTTTCTTTCCTGTTCCTTTCTTTTGCCGCCCTTCTCTTCCCCAATCGGGCGACCCTCTTCCCTTCTCCCCTCCGCCCCCCCAAAGCGCCGGGACCCATTGTCTCCCTTTCTCTCCCGGCCCCAGTGAAGGAAGAAGGCGACCGGGAGATCTCCAGCTCCCGAGAAAGCCCTCCGGTGCGGCTGAAGAAGCCGCGCAAGGCGCGCACCGCCTTCACCGATCACCAGCTGGCGCAGCTGGAGCGCAGCTTCGAGAGGCAGAAATATCTCAGCGTCCAGGACAGGATGGAGCTGGCCGCCTCGCTCAACCTCACCGACACCCAAGTGAAAACGTGGTACCAGAACAGAAGGTAAGCGAGAAAGAGAGGCGGCGGGGAGGCGGGGAGAGAAGCGGGAGGGGAGAGGGAGACAGCACCGAGCCGCGAATTTGTATCTGGCTTGGTTTAATTTGGATCCAGCCGCTCCTGAATTCTCAGCCAGATCTCAAATATCCAGGCTTCTTTTGAGAAACAGGACTGGAGAAAAGTCTGTTCCAAAAAAATGAAAAAGAAAAAAAAAGAAAGACAAAGAAAAAAGTCGCAGTTGCGAAATTGGCATCAAGGTGGTTGTTGGTGGACAAAAAAAAAAAAAGAAGCTGGTGTGGACGTTTGCAAAGAAGCGAGTTTAGTTAAAGATTTAGTTGGAGAGCGTCTTCAACTTAATCCATGAATTTAATTCCTTGGTTCCTTCTCCCCTTCTATTTTTTCCCCCCTTCTATTTTATCTTTGGTAGAAAACTCTTATGTTCTTAATCTACGGGTTTCCGGGTTTCCTTCCTTTTTTTTCTTTCCTTCTACCTGGGTTCTGTTAACCTGGTTACTCCAGCCAATTTGCTGGCTGGTTCCTGTTGGAATGCGGTGTGTGAACCTTGATAGGGCGAAGTTGGAAGTTAGCTTGGTTTTGGGGAGGGAAGCAAATATCCCATCGCCTGCAAATTTTAGGAAAAATCAGGAGAGGTAATTGTGGTTAGAGGCGTATGTCAAGAATAATTAACTTTTGTGCTGTTTCCTACAATATATTTTTTGTGTGGCTGTGCTGGGAATGCAGTTTAAAAATGATTTTGAAACTGGCCCCCGTTGTTTTAAAACTCTACCGCGTTTAGTTGTAACTGTAGACATTTTGAATTGGTATCTTGAATTCAATTCTGTGTAGACATGTAGAACTTTGTGTTTTGGGTAGTTTCTCTCTGTGCCAAGGATTTTATTTATTTTTTTAAATGATTTTAGGATGCTAAACTGCAGAAGTCACTTAATCTTCAGACCCTGCTTAAAAGACAAATGAAATCACTGCAGAGTGAAAATAAACACTGTCCAGCTCAAATGGTGCTGAAATGTTTTGAAAAAGGTCAAATCCACCTGCAGGTCTTCAGGTTATTTTGCAAGCTTTTAGTTTACACTGAACTCTTGACACTGAAGCCAGTTTCTGGATTACACAGGGCTCCTATTTGGATTCTGGAAAAAAAAGACACCTGATTGTGTCAAAGCCACAATCTGGCTGTCACACATGTCTGCACAGAGCGGACTTGGTGAGGAGGACAAGATTTTTAAATCAACTCAAGAGATTCCGCTGAGTTTAGATTTTGATTAGTTTTGACATTGATTGGTGTCCATCTTGGCTATTTTTTATCTCAATTCATTTTGAACTTGGTTAAATGGACCTTGATTAGTTTGGGTTTTAATTACTTTTGACTTGGATTGGTTTTTGATTTGGGCTATTTTTTTAAAATCTTGATTACTTTTGATGTTGGTTAGATTGACCTTGATCGGTTTAGATTTTGCTTAGTTTCTAATCACCTGTAGTTTTGATCATGGTTGTTATTATCAGGCCTGGCAGGAATCTGATGTGTGAATGCAGCTAGCCACTTTGGTTAATGTACGGTTTTGTAATCTGGTGTTGCTTCATGCTGGTCTTCTAGGGAACCAGAAAACAAAGGCCACACAATATGTTTAATACTTTGCATAGCAGCACCACAATCGCAACAAGGGGAATTGGACATCCCGTTATGAGGCCACTGCCATACCCCCGTAGAAGTGTTGTGTATAATTACATGGATTGTGTGTATACGTTTACTTCTCTTCTCTCATGTTCTCATCATAATACAATAATGCAGGCTGACTCTGCCCACAGCCTGGAATTCGACCTTGACCGGCTTAAGGTTGACTCAGCCTTCCACCCTTCCGAGGTCGGTAAAATGAGGACCCCAGATTGTTGGGGAGCCAGATGCCGACTCTGTAAACCTCTTAGAGAGGGCTGTAAAGCACTGTGAAGCGGTATACAAGTCTAAGTGCTATTGCTCAGACAAGCAAAATCAAGGGGGAAGCTGGACTCACTTAACAACCGTGTCACTCACTTAACAACTGCAGTGATTCACTTAATGACTCTGGCACGAAAGGTCGCAAAATGGGGCAAAATTCACTTAACGAATGTCTTGCTTAGCGACAGAAATTTTGGGCTCAGTTGTGGTCATAAGTCAAGGACTACCTGTACTATTATCAATAAGAATAAATATATATATATAGGATAGATAAATAGATAGATAGATAGATGATTGATAGATAGATAGATGGATGGATAGATGGATGGATAGATGGACAGATGGACAGATAGACAGACAGACACAGATAGATATACAGGTAGAGATAGATAGTAGAGATAGATAGATAGATAGAGAGAGAGAGAGAGAGAGAGAGAGAGAGAGATGAATGATGTCTTGTTAACTGACCTTTCCCGAGCAGTCGTAACTCTTGATCCCTTGGTGTCCTTATCCCACCTCCTCCTTGAAGCCATCATCTTGGTGATAATTGCAAATCAAGAGAGCAAATTAAATTGAAGATGCTGGCCCCTGCCCAGGGTTGCCAGAGCAAGCTGGGAGAATTTGAACAAAGAAGCAGGAACCGTTCCGAGGTCATTTCACCTTCTGTCTGAAAAAAAAAAAGCCGGAAAAACAAGAAGGTAGAAACTAGCCGACTTGCTGGTTTCGAAGGAGCTAGGTTAAGATTTTAAACCCAATCTGAAAACAGGGCCTGCACAGCAGAGGTGACCCCTCCCCCGACCTGGTTTGTTAGTCTGAGGTGTAGGCTGACATGTGAACGCACACTCCACGCCGTGCGGCTTTGTCCACCAGAGTTTGTGCTTTGCCTAGTCTGGTGTGAATCCAGCACCTCGGGGACTGTTTCAGTAAAGTAGGGTAGGGCAAGCTGTGTGAATGAGGCTGTCTTCTCCAGGTTGGAAAAGTTAAGCTGTTAGCAGTTTTATTCAATGGGCTATTAATAAAAAGCGAGCAGGCTCAAGGGTGGAAAAACAGACTGAGAAAACTTAGTCATTTTTTTGCATCCCGAGTTTGCAAAACATTTATTGCAACCCGTTGGACGTGTCCTTTTTTGACCCAGGGAAATTCCTTTGGGATTTTTCTCCTCTTCCTTTTTTTTTTTTTTAAACCTCTTTTTTTTTTATTTGGTTGTTATGTTAGGCTTTAAAACATTGCTTTCTTTGCATTTTTTTTTAAAAGTGCTCCTTCCTTCTCCCAAATCCATATGATTTGCTTCTTATTCTCAATTTCTCAGAGACAGGAAATCTTTTGGATTTGATGAGGCAGGGGAGAGAAAAAGGAAAACGAAGAAGAGGAAGGAGGAGGAGGAGGAGGAGGAGGCATTTAATTTGGGTGGGTGGGAGAAAAAAAAACGAGAAAGGGAAAGAAATCTGTTGTTTTTTTTCAGCTAAAGGCATAACAGCATGTTGCTGAGCTATTAATAATATATCCCAATTGATGCTCCGGGCATCAATAATTAAGGGCAGTTACAGTAATTACACAATTATGATGACGATAAATAATTTACTGGGGGAAAGAGAGATGGGCAGAAAAGGTGAAAGGCGAGGATTATGGGCTACTGGATTCAAAGGCATCTACTTCCCAGGCTTCCAGTGACTGAGCTGGCTTACCTGCTCGCAGCAGGTAAGAACGGAGAGCGAAGGAGAGAGCCTCTTGCTGAGAGTCAATTTTATAGATGCTTAATCCTTAAAACTGCAGGTAGTCCTCAGTTTACAACCTGTTTGTTTAGTGACGGAGGGTAACCTATCAATCTCTCCTTGAGTTAGAATCTGGAGACCCTACAGGTATTCCTTCAGTTACAACTTTTCATTTAATGACCGTGCGAAGTTACAATGACACTGCCAAAAAGGCACTTACTTACGACCAGTTTTCGCACTCCTAATCATTGCAGCGTCCCCCCGTGGTCGCGTGATCAAAATTCAGACGCTTGGCAACTGGCTTGTACTGAGGACTGTTGCAGTGTTCCGGGGTGTGTGTCACGTGATCCTCTTTCTGACGAGCCCGATTCACTGAACAACCGGGTTGGTCCCTTCACATTTGCAGGGGTCCTCTTTACCACCGTGGCAAGGGAGGTCGTAAAATGGGGTGAAGACTCCTTCAACAACCGCCTCACTTAGCAGCGGTTGTGGATGTAAGTCGAGGACTACCTGTAGAGAAGGACAAACGTGTGAGGTGCCACCGTGGCTCTCAGTAAGTGTTCTTTTTTTCTTCCCACTTTTAAAAGTTACGGAAGATCCCCCCAAAGGCGCTTTCGTTCGGGTGGGTTGTATTTATCGATACGGACTGAATTAAAAATTAAAAATTGAGGCCATCACTCCAGCCACTGCTTCTCAGGGTGGTTTACTGGGATTTTAAAATTGTAGTATTTTTTCAACACAGGCCAGCCAATGACTTTGATTTTAAGGATCCCTGGCCCGGAGGTGGGTGGGTGGGTGGGGGTCTCTGTGGGATCATAAGACCACACTTGAAGAAAAGCTACTCTAAAGAATAGACCCACTTTGCTTTAGCGGTTGAGACACCAGGCTAGAAAGCAGGAGACTGGGAGTCCTAATTCCGCCTTAGGAATGGAAGCTGGCTGGGTGACTTTGGGCCAGTCTCCAGAAGATTGGGAGTTCTAGTTCCACCTTAGGAATGTTGCCAAACGTCTGAATTATGATCACTTGGCCGTGGGGATATGGTAATGGTTGTAAGTGTGAAAAAGAGCCATAAATAACTTTTCCCAGTGCTGTGTAACTTTGAACGGTCAGTAAACAAACTGTTGTAAGCCAAGGACTACCTCTATTCTGTTTTCAAAGAAGAAAAAACTAAGGAAATCCAGTTGCCTTTTGGAAAAAGCCCCTTTGGGGGAGCAACCAGGACCTGGATAATTGAGCATCTCCAAAGACATTCACTCTCTCCTCCTCCTCCTCCTCCTCCTCCTCCTCCTCCTCCTCCTCCTCCTCCTCCTCCTCTGTCTGAACCCTGTTCTTAGAGCCCATCTCAATAAAAGTAATTTCAACCTTCCTGCGGAGTTAAATTTCTCCTCCTCCTTCTTCTCCTCCTCCCCCTCCTCTCTGCACACCACACTCCCTTCTAGCATGGATGGCATCTCCTAGCTGGGTCATGAAATGTCTGCAAGAAAACCACCCAGCTCAGAGAGCAACAAAGTTCCCTCCTCCTCCGTCTGAATCCCGTTTCCTCTCTCCCCCCTCCAGGACCAAGTGGAAGAGGCAGACGGCGGTGGGGCTGGAGCTGCTGGCCGAGGCGGGCAACTACTCCGCCCTGCAACGGATGTTCCCTTCGCCCTATTTCTACCCGCAAAGTCTGGTCTCCAACTTGGATCCCGGCGCTGCGCTCTACCTGTACCGGGGACCCAGCGCGCCCCCGCCGGCGCTCCAGCGGCCTCTGGTCCCTCGCATCTTGATCCACGGACTGCAAGGGGGCAGCGAGCCCCCGCCGCCTCTGCCCCCGCTGGCCGGCGTCCTCCCCAGAGCCGCTCAGCCCCGGTGAGCGGACACCCCCCCGACCCGGGCTTGGCTTCAGGAAGATTACGTGGGGCGCCCCCGCTTCCCTGCGCCGGATTGACTCAGCCAAGGGGGGGAAGGGGGGAGGAGAAGGGGGGGAAAGGACGCGGGGAGGGGCTGGAACTGGCGCAGCAGCCCTGCACGCATCTCGGGGCCATTCCCACGACCGACCGATCGCCTTTCTTGCTTGCCATCAGGCTAACCGCCGGCCCTTACCAAGCTGAGATGCTGCAAAAAAAAACCCATCCCAGGCACTTTCAGACTTCTTTGCTCCGTATCAGTTTTTTTTTCTTTCTTTCTTTCTATCCTGGCTTATTTCCCACAATCTTCAGCTCATTTGTTAGATTAAGTGGGTTCTAGTTGGGTTTAGGAGGTGGTGTGTGAATTCTGGGTTTTGCCGGCTTGGAGTGGGGGTCCCCGTCCTCGCCAAGCGACAGCCAGCCGTCCTTCAAACATGTTTTAGACAGGCAAATCTGGGCCTGTTGTTCAATTCTTGGGAGTTTCATGAGTTGTGTGAACCCTGCCGCTCTGCCTAATGGGCAAATCCAGAAGGTGAGTTAATCCAGCGACCCCAAGGTTGCCACTTATGGCTGGGGATTCAGCTCCGTGCTACAGAGAAGGCAGAGCAAATCTTTTCCACACCTTGGCCTGCTCAACTCCCAAAATGAAGGCTCATTATAGTTCAAACTCTCATAGAAAGTGCCCAGTTGGAGAAAACCTCTTTTTGATGTTTCCTGTACATAAAGGGTTTATTTTGAAAAATCGCAAAATTCTCTCTGCTTTGCAACCATTTCCTGCAGAGTTTCCCTGCCTTGGCTTAACAACAACAAAAAAGAAATATATATATATTTTTTTCTTCAGAAATCCTCGTTGCACATATCAGCAATCGATTTTGAGTATTGATTTTCTGAGTTTGCAGGGCCCGGTGGTCTTTTTCTCTCCCCTTTTTGCTCCTTGCTTACTTTCTTCGGCTCCCAAAATTGTCCTGGCCCCCCCTCTCACTTTGGAGAAAAGGAAGGAAGCAAAACCCCAGTTCTGACTCCTGATGGGCCGTAATCTAGCAAAGCAGCTGAACAAAACTGTCTTTTTTAATCGTAGAGTAAAATTGGCACGACATTTGAACCAGGACAATAAAAAAAGATCTCGAAACACACGCCAGAGGGACTCAGAAGCTCCACAATGTCATCACACATGTTTGTGTGTATGTGTGTGTGTATCTACCTGAGAGCACCAGCGAGTTCTGGGTGTCTCAAAGTGATGATAAAGCTTCAACTTTATCTTCGCTGCTCTCTTCAAGGGGGTTGGTTGCGTGAAATCCCCAGACAGAACCACAACTCCTGATTGTGTGCTGTTTGCAGAAAGACAAAGAGAGAGAGAAAAAGAAAGGAAATGCAAACAGTGAGCAAACACAAACACAAAAACCCCTTGCTTTAAATATGGGTCAGAGGGAAGACGTGGCTAGGCAGATTCCCTACAGATGGATGACTCTCCTTTCATGAAGAAAAAATGAAGAGTGCTTTGCAAGGCCCTCTCTGCTTATTCTGATTTCAGCCACAAAAGAGGGGAAAGCAGGAAAGGGGGTTCAGTTTTGGAGCGCCGGATCTCGGAACTTCCAGATCTTGTAGAAGAAGCTGGTTCTCGGTTGCTTCAGTAGGGGTTCCAGAACTGGTCTACAACATCCTTATGACCACTGAGGACATCCGATCTTTCCTGCTACCAACTGGTTCTTATGGATTTTTGCAGCTCAGATCTGGACACTTCACCGGTTCTGGATCCAGGGACAGGGATCTTCCAACGTCCTGGGACCTAGATTTCATCCCATCGTTATCTAGGTATCCTTCTAGGTATCTCATGGTCTCCAAAGTATTGGGAGTTACCACTTATGTGATGTCTCAACAAGCATGGGAGCTGGGATGATATCTAGAACCCATTTTTAAGCAAGGTGGGAGAGCTGAGGTCCATTTAAAAAAAGTCTCTTTTTAATTTTATTCCATGAATATTCCAATTCTTGCCCCAAACTTGTGCCAGTGGGTACAATTATACATTTCATTCCTAGACCCACAGTTCATATTCCTTTGAAGGCCACATCTACTGATGCTTGTTGAATGTCAGCTCTGTGGTCTGGTTTCGGTGTCTTTTAGCCAAGACTAAATGAGAAAAATTGAGCCTGGAAACAGATCCTATTTTTTTTTTAATTTCTTTGCAGTTGGGTGTTTGCCTGTAGAACCAATCCACCCCTCCTTAGCCAGGAGAACACAAACACACAGATTGTATCCTAGTGTACTGTAAAAAAGAGGGGGGGAAAGTCCTTTTTATGCTAAGGCAAAAGTTTTTCAAAACGACATTCCTTCTTTTTTTTTTAAAAAAAAAAAAAGAGGTCCGTGAGTTGTTTTTCTTTTAAATTTTAAATTTTCTTTTTGGTTGCCATTGTAAATAAATGTACACAAAGTATATTATTTATGGTGAACCCCCCCCCCCCCAGGGTGTATTTGTGTAAGTGCGTCTTGTTAAGTGTGTACCACTGTGGGATTCTCTTTTCTGGATTTTATAATGGAAGGAAGAAAAAAAAAAGGAGACGAAAAGGAGAATTCCGCTTTAGAAGAGCTCAGATTAAAAAAAAAAAAAACTCTCTTTCTCTTTTTTTTAAAAATGTGGAAATAAACTTCTTTACAAACAGAGGGAGGCCATTGCGAAGGCTTTTGATTTTTACTATGCAGGACTTTCGGTTGAAACATCAGAGCGAGTCGAAAAACCCGAAGGAGTTTGTCCGTCTGTCCGTTCTTCTCATGCGGGGAAGAAATATTTTGCTGCATCTCAGCCTGTTCCAAGAGCTATCTCTCCTTTGACAGACAGCCACTTTTGACAGGGGGTCCTCGACCTGTCCAAAATTTATGTCGCTCGGCAAGACATTTATTGAGTTTTGCCTCGTTTTACGACTTTTCTTGCTACCATCAATGCCGCTGTTACAGGAGTAAAATGGTGGCGATCCCATGGCTGCGGGGCTGCTTCTTAAGGGTGAAAAATGTCCCCTTTTTTTTCATTGCAACTTCAGTCCCTAAATAAGAGCTTGCGAGTCAAGAACAGCCCGTCTGTCGTCTTCCAGGTTTTACCTTAAGGAGTGCTTGAGCTGTTCCTCTTGCCATTATCACAAGGGGACTGAAGGCCATTTTTCACACAACTGTGGCCGCAAGCCCGTGGCCGGGGGATCAAAATCCGGAAGCTTGGAAACTGACATGTACTTAGGACGGTTGCAGTGTCCCCAGGGATCACATAATCCCCTTTTGTGAACTTCTGACAAGCCAAGTCAAGAGAGAAGCCAGATCCACGCAACAACCATGTTACTAACTTAACAACGGCAGGGATTCCCTTCACAGCTCTGGCCCAAAAGGTCGCAAAATGGGGCAAAAATTCACTTAACAACCGTCTTGCTTAGCGACAAGAAATCTTGGGCTCTGTTGTGGCTGTAAGTCAAGGACTGCTTGTATTATAATATCTGTGCTTCCATCTTCACAGCTATGGATCCATGACAGAACTCGGTTGTGTTACCGGTATTGTAGTTTGACAGTCTCTAAAATTTATCAGTTTTTACTTTCCTTGGCTGACTAAATAGGGTCAAATCTGGTTAGAAACTTGGATGAGAGACGAGACGAGAAATGCCAGGGCTTCAGGAACAGAAACATCTTAAAATATCCCAGAGGATACTTAATGGTGAGAGGTTGAAAACCTCAAAAGGGTTTTCCATTTGATGACCAGGAGCCCAGCTCAACTGGGAGGAGAATTGTTGGAATAAATCCATGGTTTATTTTTTCACATTTCCAAAGCACCCGTCTCCCAGAAATGGAGTTAAATACTCACCTGCACAACAAGCCTGTGAGGTAGATCGCATTTGGAGGCACATCTAAAATGAAAAGAGAATGTTTTATCTAAGCACGTAAGAAAGACGAAGCTTTAATACAACAATAAGTGGTAGGCAAATAACAGTGGCTGGGAGGCAGTTTGGCACAGTGGTTAAGGCACCGAGCTAAAATCCGGGAGGATGTGAGTTCTAGTTCTGCCTTGGGCACGAAGCTAGCTGGATAACTTTGAGCCAGACGCTTTCTCTCAATCCTGGGAAAGAGGCAATGGTTCTTGCCAAGGAAACTGTAGGGATTTGTCCAAGCAATCTCCAAGAATCGGCCACGATTGAACAGAAGACCAAATAATAATAATGACTTAGCTTAGTAGAGAAGCTGCATTGAGTATCTTCCAACATAACAAAAGAGGCTTGATTTTTTTTTTTAGAAAACACTGGTACTAATAGCAGTGTGAATGCAGAGATACAGAATAAGAGTGGAGGTCTTCTAGTCCATCCCCCTGCTCAAGCGGGAGAACCTATACTATTCTGGACAAGTGGCTGTCCAGTCTCTTCTGGAATAACTCCAGTGTTGAAGCACCCACAACTTCTGGAGGCAAGGGGTTCCACTGGTTAATTGTTCTCCCTGTTAGGAAATTCCTCCTTAATTCCAGGTTGCTTCTCTCCTGGATTAGTTTCCATCCGTTGCTTCTTGTCCTGCCTTCAAGTGCTTTGGAGAAAAGGTTGACTCCCTCTTCTTTGGGGCATCCCCTCAGATATTGGAAGACTGCTATCCTGTCGCTAGTCCTTCTTTTCATCAAACTAGACATACTCAATTCCTGCAACTCTTCATGTTTTATCCTCCAGCCCTCCAACCATCTTTGTTGCTCTTCTCTGCATTTACTAGAGTCTCAACATCTTTTATATTGTGCTGACCAAAACTGAAGCAGAGGTGAGGTGGACACTTTAATGATCCATTAGATCAGAGAGCCTTTTCTACCTCTGTTTTATTTCTTTAAGGAATTCCTTCCTTTGAGGGGGGTGGGTTGTCCCTCCTCCCCTCACTCATTCCCCTTTTTCTTTGCAGTTTGGAGCAACGACAGATCCAGGGTGGGAGATCACCATAAGGAAGATGTTGCCCCCCCCTCATTTCCCAACTTTGCTGGGCCAATTATTAACGCTTGTCTTCCGAAACAGGATAATGGCTGTAAATTATCTCTTGGGCCAAAACTAATAATTATGGAAATATTTTTTGGGGGGGGGGAAGAGAGAAAGGTCAGGAATGTATTACTCGTCTGTCTTCGGCCTGTTTCTCCTCACCAGCTGGTCACCGGGAGAGTTTACAGATTTTTTTTTTCTTTTTCAGATTTTTCCCGCCCCCCCCTCTCCCATTTCCCGTCTTGGGAAGGTGGCAGATGGATTGCGAGCCTTTTAAAAGAGCAGCAGGGTTTTGGGTTTTTTGTTCTTGGCAGTTCAGTTTGCCCCCTCCCCTTTCTCCCTCTCCATTGTTTTCCTCTCCAAGTTGAAGGCCAAATTATTCCGATAAAATATTGGTTCACAAGAGTTTCACAAGATGAAAAAGAAAGCTCTGGCTTCTTCTCTACGGTCCAACCGACCAGGATTTACTTAGATGTGTGCGGGTTTTTTTTTTAAAAAAAAATAAATATTTATTTGTACAGTGATACTCATCACTAATAGGTTCCAGAAGGCGTGAGGAGTACCAAAAACAAACAAATTTTCCCCCTAAGGAATAATGTAGTGAGTCACAAGACAGCTGACAAGTTCCACTGTCATTAAGTACCAAACAATGATTCCCGGGTACAAAATCTTTGCTTTGAAATGCACCCAGTACCAAATTTGATGAGTTTCAAAGCAGTTGAGTACCCAGCTAGCCATTGTTATCTCGCATTTCTTATTTTTACAAATAATTCCAAGGCCGCAAACTTATCCAATACAGATTCCTCCTCCTGTTTTTCCCACAACAAGCCTGTGAGGCGGGCTGGGCTGAGAATGACCAACTGAAAGTCTACCCAGCTGACTTTTGTGCCAAAGGTGGGACTAGAACTCACCGTCTCCTGGTGATTGGCCCAAAGTCAACCAGCTACCTTTTGTACCTGAGGCAGGACTAGAACTCACCGCCTCCTGGGGATTGGCCCAAAGTCACACAGCCAGCTTTCATGTCTAAGTCAGGACTAGAACTCACCGCCTCCTGGTGATTGGCCAAGACACCTAGCTGGCTTTCACACCTAAGTGGGGACTACAACTCCTGGTCTCCAGGTTTGTAGCCTGGTGCCTTAGCCACTAGACACATCACAGTGTAACCAACCTCCTTAAGGAAGGAAGGAAGGAGGAAGGAAGGAAGGAAGGAAGGAAGGAAGGAAGGAAGGAAGGAAGGAAGGAAGGAAGGAAGGAAGGAAGGAAGGAAGGGAAAGAAGGGCGGGAAAGGAAAACATAAACACGGAAAAGAGAATTTGGGGAACTCTTTGCAATGCGTTTAGCTCCAAAGGCAGCTGCAATTCATCCCCTCCACCTTGCTTGTGAAAAATGACAACTTTCCATAACAAAGCACAATTGACGGAGAGGGGGAAAAGAGGATTTGGACTGCTGAGCGCATATGAGTTTTGTGTTTTGCTTATAAAAAGAAAAGGGGGTGTGTGATGGGGGTGCGAAGACAGACAAGACCAGCCGGATTGTCCTCAGCTTAAGGTTAATGAAGTAAGAAAGCAGTCTCTTTTTCAAGGCAGGGCAAACAGAGGGCGACACCCCCCCTCCCCTTAATACAAAAAGGCCTCCTGTTCAAGGACAGGCCTACATGGATTGACTTAAACCCAGGGGATAAGTGCTTGAAATTTAATCTTATTGCCTAAGAATGAGGCCAAACAAAACTCTCTTAAAATCATATTAAAAATCTATCAAAGGAACAACTCGGTGTGAAAGAGAGAGAGAAATAGGGGGGGGGGAGGAACGGGGTGAAATAATGAAGCCCAGCATCTTACATCCCCCCTAAAAAAATGGAAATCTGGAGAGATTCAGGATCACTTCATTATTCTTGCAACTGCCCCATCTATGGGTTAATGAAGGACAACTTTTTCGGATGCCTGGAAAAGCCGCACGATTAAAATTTGCTTTCTGCAGGCACGTCTGGGGAAAAAGCTGGACGCTGGGATACCCACTCCTTCCCTCCAAAATTCATTTGAAACAGCATATTAAAAGGTTTGCTGGTGGCGAAATGGAAAGGTGACAGTCTCCTGCTTTAGGGTGAAATTCAAAATCTGCTCCCACCCCCTCAAAAAAAGGGTTCCTTTATTGCAAAGTAGAGACCCCCAGAAATCAAAAGCGTTTCATGTTGCATGCAGAGTGCTACAGACAGTCCTTGACTCACAACGCCTCGTTTAGTGACCGTTTGATTACAACAGCACTGAAAAAAAAAGAGACTTCTGTTTTTCACACTTAGGACCCTTGCAGCATCCACCATGCTGATCAAAATTCAGATGTTGGGCAACTGGCTCATGTTTATGACGGTCGCAGCAGGGGTCATACGACCTTTCTGACAAGCCATGTCAATGGAAAAACCAGATTCACTTACACAACCGTGTTACTAATTTCACAACTGCGCTGATTCGCTTAACAGCTAGAGGAAGAAAAGTCACAAAATGGGGCAAAACTCACTTAACAAATGTCTCACTTAGCCACAGCAACTTTGGGCTCCATTGTGGCCTAACTGTATTAAGAGTTTTGCAGATTAATTGACCTACAGAATAATTCAGGCTATGAAAAAACAGAGACAAAACAGAGTTTGAACTCCATTTTCTGCCCCGATAAGAGATTTCCCGATGTGGCTCTGAATGCTTTGCCTGTTCTATGCAATGGAAAAAAAACACACACAAAAAACCCCTTCCTATCCCATGGCATGTTAAAACAATGTTTTGTTTTATTCGGAAAGACAGCCTTACAGCTTCGTAGCCGAGATGCTATCGCCTCAACGAGTAAAACCCAAGTTGCCAATGTCACTTAAAACTGGAACAAAGAACCACATTAAAGGCAGGCAAGTGGTAGGTTTTCAGAGGGAACTTTATAAATGCGCTTAGAAAATGTTGATTTGTCAAAATCGAGATTAATACCTTCCGATGTTGGAATGACATTTCAGCTCTGCCAAAGGCTCTTCTTTTTCTCCTCCAGACTGCCTGCGTTTCGTTCAGAAACAAACAGAAAACGTTAGATTTATTCTGAATTCTGACGTGAGCTTTGCTGCGTTACTCGGGACTGCTCAGGATATTTTCAGCAGGAGAGGCTGAAAACTGGCTGGAGTCTTTCCTGCAAAGCCTCCTTCTGTTTTATTTATTTATCAAATTTTATAGAGCCTTGCCAGAAGCAGCCCTGGGTGGTTTGTGCACAACTCCTTGAATTAAACCACCCAAAAGCAAGCTCGGTGTGCGTACGTGTGTGTGGGTATCTCTTGTGTAACTTTTGAGATTTGAAAGGCATCTCCTTTCACAAAGTTTACACTCCAGATTTGAAAAAATTAACTTTCCTTCTAAGCAGGAAAGCAAGGTGAAAATTCAGCCCAAATTAAAACTGCTTGGGCCATCCTTTTACAAAATGTCTCTTGACGTAGGAGGGAGCCAAGATTTGCTTCCTTCAAAAGCTGAAAAGTTCCCCTGGTTTTAAAGAGGAATCGGGTTCTGCAAGGCAGTCCTTGACTAATGACTAGAACTGGGATTTGTGTTGCTAAACGAGGCAGTCGGGAAGAGAGCCGTGCCTGATTTTATGGCCTCTTTTTGCCATGGTTGATAAACAGATCATTGCTGGTGATTTGGTTTTTTCCTGCTGGCAGAGTTTCCCCAAATCTTCACCAAAGTACCTCAAGATCTTTTTTCTCCCTGCTGAAAAGCAATTTGAGCTGAAAGATGCCTTATTGTCAATATGTCTTTAATTGAAGGACGGATTAACCCTGGTGGAACCTGGTTGGCCTTCTCTTCTGGATCAGGGAGGAAGAGAACGTTCCTGGTGGAACCTGGTTGGTCTTCTAGATCAGGAAGGGACATTTCTGGTTGAACCTGGTTGGTCTGTTCTTCTAGATCAAGAAGGGGACATTTCTGGTTGAACCTGGTTGGACTGTTCTTCTAGATCAAGAAGGGGACATTTCTGGTTGAACCTGGTTGGTCTGTTCTTCTAGATCAAGAAGGGGACATTTCTGGTTGAACCTGGTTGGTCTGTTCTTCTAGATCAGGAGAGAGACACACATTTCTGATTGAACCTGGTTGGTCTCTTCTAGATCAAGAGGAAGGGGCCATTTCTGGTTGAACCTGGTTAGTCTGTTCTTCTAGATCAAGAGGAAAGGGGGACATTTCCGATTGAACCTGGTTAGGGTATTTTTTTTTCCTTCTAAACCAGGAAGGGGACATTCTGGTTGAACCTGGTTGGTCTGTTCTAGATCAGGAGGAAAAGGCACGTTCCTGGCCGAACCTGGTTGATCTTCTCTTCTAGACCAGGAAGGGAGGGGGTATTCCTGGTGGAACCTGGTTTCCTCTTCTAGATCGGAAAGGGCACATTCCCGAGGTTGTGTCTTCCTTCTTGTTCCAGCCGTTTCCCAATCCTGTCCACAAGCCATCGAGAGCTCCAGATCAGCTGGGAGAATTCTGCTCTCCCAATTTCCTTCGCCCTTTTTTCCTCTTCCCCTTCAAAGCTGAGGGGTCCAAACCACTCGAATATTCAAAGGCAAAACTGAGGTGAGGTTTGACCTGAGTCTTCCTGAGAAGGTCACGCCTGGAGAGAAAAAGAGAGTGACGGACAGATGAGAAATTTAAAAGCAAACATATATATATATATATATTAGGATTTAGGTTTCCAGGAGAAAAGGCTTCGTTTGTTTCCTTCTCCAAGGCCACCAGCCTTGGATTCTCTGAAAAGTCCACCAAAAGTTTCATTTTGCCGGTGGTCCTTAACAAGTTTTCACTGTGAGTCAATTCAAAATTAGAAGGGCACAAAACAAAAGCCAGTTAGGAACACTTTTCACGTTTAACACCCGTTGCTGCATCCCCACGGTCAAAATTCGGGCGTTTGGCAGCTGGCTCATATTTACGATGGTCACGGCGTCCCGGGGATCACGTGATCCCCTTTTGCAATCTTCTGACAAGCAAAGCCGATGGGGGAAGGCAGACTCACCTAACAGCCGTGTTACTAACTTTAACAACCGCAAGGATTCTCTCGAAAGGTCATAAAATGGGGCAAAACTGACTTAACAACGATCTTGATTAGCCATAGAAATTTTGGGCTCAGCTGTGGCACCATCTACAACTCAGACCCAAACGGCTAAGCCAATTGTTCGATCGGAGACTAGCCCTGACAGTTTTTATTATTATTTTTTTTTAAAAAAAGGGGGGGGGGAAGAGAACTTTTATTATGTAGGGCAGCGTCGGTCTGGTTGCTGCACGGAGGGGGGGGGGAGGAAAAAAAAGAAACCCCACCCTCCTCTTGGGAAGGGTTCCAGTTCTTCCTGCCTCTAATTAAGTGATATTAAGGCCCCTTAAATGCCACAAGAAAATTGGCAGCCAGGACGCTCCTGAGCCATCGGCAACGGTTACGCCAGAAGAAGATGATGATTCAGCTGCAACTCTGGGCTGCGAGAACTCGGTTGAAAGAAGAAGAAGAAAAGGTGGCTTTGGAGCATCAGTGACCAGGTTAGAACCTAGAATAGGGTTGGAAGGGACCTTGGAGGTCATCTAGTCCAACCCCCTGCTCAAGCAGGAGATCCTATCCCATTCCGGACAAATAGCTGTCCAGTCTCTTTCTAAAAGCCTCCAGGGATGGAGCACCCACAACTTCTGGTGGCAAGCAGTTCCACTTGTTCTCACTGTCAGGAAATTTCTCCTTAATTCTAGGTTGCTTCTCTCTTTGATTAGTGTCCATCCGTTGCTTCTTGTCCTGCCTTCGGGTGCTTTGGAGAATAGGTGGACCTTCTCTTCTCTGTGGCAGCCCCTCAAATATGCTATCGTGTCACCTCTAGTCCTTTTCTCCATGAAACTAGACACAGCCATTTCCCGCAACCGTTCATTGTACTGTTTAGCCCCCAAACCCCTGATCATCTTTCCTGCTCTTCTCTGCACTCTTTCTAGATACACTAATGCACTGATGATGTTACCTAGTTGGGTAACGAAATGTCTGCAAGAAAGCAACCAAGCTCAGAGAGCACCAAGGACACCACAATCATTGTCCTTCTCTTCCCCTTACCCTTCTCCTCCGCTCCACAAACCCCACTCCCCTTCTAGCACTGATGACGTTACCTAGTTGGGTAATGAAATGTCTGCAAGAAAACCACCAGGCTCGGAGAGCACCAAGGACCTTGCCTTCAGAAGTTGTGAGTACTCTTAACACTGGAGGTTTTTAGGAAGAGATTGAATCACCATTTGTCTAGAATGGCGTAGGGTCTCCGGGTTGAGCAAGGGGTTGGACTAGAAGACCTACAAGGTCTCTTTGTCGGGCTCTGTTAGAGACCTCTTACGGTCTGTAATAGCTCTGCTATTCTGATTTCTCCCTTCTTTCCTATATCGTGGTAACCAGAATTGGTTGCAATATCCCAAGTGTTGCCTCTAAAGCGACCGATAAATTTATCAAAATGTATTTATTTTAAAACACGCGAAATGAACTTATTTTAAAGGAAAGCATTGGTGGCTCACCCGAGCGGGAAGACCAGACCCGGATTTCTGGAAACGAAAGCGAGAAAGCTTTTATTCTCCTACAGGAGCGTGAAACAAGGGCGTGTTTGGTATCGGTGTCCCCTGCTTTTCTGCTAGACCCTTGAGAGTGTAGGGAAAGGGAATTTAAGAGACTAACAAGCTTGCAGGAACAGAGGAAAACATTGTGTGCCTCTAATCCGAAGAGACTTTCGGTGTCAGTCAATCCGCTCCCCGCTGGGTCACCGAGACTTCAAAAGCAGCCCCCATCCCATCTTACATGTTCTTTATCGGCTAATCAGGCTACTATTCACTCAATAAAGCTCTTTTAAACCCACCCACCCACCCCCGCTCGCTTGTCGTGCTCCCCATCTGCTGGCGAGGGTCAACCGTCCCCCTCAAAAACACGGGGGTCCCTAGCGGGTTCTGGAGAGGACAATGCCCAAAGACCCCCCTCTCTCCAACGGCCTTCCCTCTCCGCACGCACACACCCCATCTCACTTAATTTGGTTCAAAGAGGCAGAACTGTCAGCCCCCACCCCATTTCTGCTCCTTGTCAAAAAAAGGGGGGGAGATTAGGAGAGGGGCTGTCTTTGTGGGACTCTCGGGTCTCCCCGATCAGTTTTGTCAGCACAAGAGAGGTGGGGGTGGGGGGGAGAAAATCCCTCCAAACACTTATTGTCTTGACTCTTTTAATCTTTGATCAGATTGAATTTTAAGGTTGACGTGAATTTTAAAGTTGGGACTTTGAGGCCTGATGTTTTCATGTTTTTTTAAACCTTTTCACCGTTTTATATGGTTTGTGTTATCACCTGGTAAGGCAGCCGGGATCACTGGATAACAAGTTGGGTGGCATATCAAATTTAATAAATAAATAGGTAAAGATTGTTTTATAGGACTGTAAGACACTGAGCATGGTGTAACAGCAAAGTGGCTGGCATGTCAATTTCATAGGTAAAAAAAAAAATATTGTTTATTGGATTGTAAGACGCCGAGCATGGTGGGACAGCGAACGGGCTGGCGTATAAATGTAATAAATAAATAAATAGGTAAAATAAAATAATATTGTTTATCGGATTGTAAGACGCCCAGAGTCGTGTTGTCAGTGAGCTGGGTGGCATATCCATTTAAAATCCGTTTAAAATAAATAAATAAAATAATATTATCGGATTGTAAGACGCCGAGCATGGTGGGACAGCGAACGGGCTGGCGTATAAATGTAATAAATAAATAAATAGGTAAAATAAAATAATATTGTTTATCGGATTGTAAGACGCCCAGAGTCGCGTTGTCAGTGAGCTGGGTGGCATATCCATTTAAAATCCGTTTAAAATAAATAAATAAAATAATATTATCGGATTGTAAGACGCCGAGCATGGCGTGGCAGTGAACTGGCTGGCGTATAAATTGAATAAACAAATAGGTAAAATAAAGATTGTTTCATTGGACTGTAAGATGCCCAGGGTGGCATGAGAGTGATCTGGGCAGCGTATAAATATAATAATTAAATAAAAGACTGTAAACTCTCAGCATTGCCTCACGTCCATCTCCTCTTTTAAGGAAGGCAAGCTGAGGTCTCTGAAATCTGTATCCAAGGAAAGGGATTGCTTCTCCTTTCCTGGATGGAGAAAAACCATGAAAAATGAACTTTTTTCAAGGGATGTCGTCTCCTCCCCACGCTTGGTGCCCAACGATGCAGCCAGGAAGAGGATTTCTCCGCTCGCCTTGCTTCGAATCTGGGTCTGGAAACGAGATTATTTTGCATTTTACCTTTTCTGCTGCTTTCCCGGCCGCGAGGCTCCAGCAGCAGCGCCGAGATTCCCAGGAGCGTCGCGGAGCCCAAAACTCTTGGCCACGTGACCCAAGTGCAGAGCCCGGATGTGGAAGATGGGCTTGAGGGTGGCGGGGTAGGTGGCGTACGAGCGAATGAAGGACTGCAGGGCTGAAAGACAAGAGGGGCCAATGAAGACATCCCAGCTTCCCAACACCCCCTCCCCACCCACCTCTTCCTGCCCTTCCTTCCTGAGTCAGAACACCGGTTTATTTGCGCAGAACTTAAGCCTAAATCTCTGTGTGGCAGGAGATTGCGGTTTACGAACAGTAATAAAAATGTCATTTTAGCAGGCTCAGTCTCCCGAAGATCTTGGGGAATCTCGGAAAGCTCTGTTTGCTAAGCAAAGCGAACGCCATTTCCCAATCAATGAGGGAATAGCCAAGGGCGGCAGCCCCCTCCTCTCATTTCCTAGCCTCCATTTTTTTTAGCGGGGGGGGGGAGGGAAGGGCAGGAAGCAAGACTCCCAAGATGCCCACTCAGGTATTTGGAGTCAAATGACGTCTCTGGCATACGTGCCTGCCTCAAAGCCTCTGAAACAGCTGCCAAGGCAAGTTTCTAGTCCACACTGATGAAAGGGGAAAGAAGGTTTTAAAATAGGAGTGGATTTTAGGACTGGGTTTTGAAAGCAGCCGTTGCTTCCACTGAAAGCGCACTAAAGGTAACTTTGGTCCACACTGATTAGGAGAAAAAGGCTTCCTTCCTTCCTTCCTTCCTTCCTTCCTTCCTTCCTTCCTTCCTTCCTCTTCACTGTCATTTTCTATCCATTTTTTTTCTCTCTCCCTCCCTTCCTTCCGAATCTTTTTTCTATCTTTTCTTTCTTTCTCCTTCCTTCTTTCGTCAGAATCTTGTTTTCTTTTTTTCTTCTTCCTTCCTTAGGATCTTCTATCCATCTTTTCCTTCCTTCCTTCCTTCCCTCAATCCCTCCCTTCTTTTCCCCTCTCATTCTCTTTCTTTCCTTCTCTCCCCTCCTCTTCCCCCTCCACCCCAAAATCTTACCAGCCCCAGATAAAAAGTCTGCCAAGGAGGCCCCGATCCACCATCCACACTGACCAGGTCAAGACCACCAAGGTGGCGGATTGAGAAAGGACAGCCGAGGAAACGCCGGGAGGCTGACTCTTTGGCGCCGTTTCCATTTGGGGTTTTTTGCCATCCACCCAGAGCCCAGCTGCTGCGTCAATTATTCACCGTTCTCGGCCGGGCTGGAGAAGGGCGGCTGGTGGATGCCAGTTGGAGAGGGGGCATGGATAGGACACGGATACAAAGAGATGGGCACCGAGTGGGGGGGGGAGAGATGGAGGGAGGGGGCAACTTTGCAAAAAAAAAAAAAAAAAAACAGGAGGGAGAAGATACGAACTAGACAAGTGTTCATCGGAAAACGTGGGGCCGCTCTCCTGTTCCTTGGCAGCCGTGGAGGTCCTCAAAGGCTGGCACGGGAAAGCCCATTTCATCCATGTTTATGGAAGCCTCAATGGTCAAAACTGCAGATGCCAATATGGCCCTGGTCGTGGAGAAGCCTTTCTCCTGCCATTCCCGGTGCCAGCGTCTCGTGCCAGAAACGCTGGTGGGCAGAAAGACCCAACACTTCCGTTCTGCTTCAAACGCCACTTCCTACTCTGCCTCGTTAAGCCACAAAACCTCCCTCGAACGCGGAAACGCCAGCGCTCGTAAAGTTAGGGAAGCAAATTCCTGACCTTTTTTGCCCCATCGGAGGGTTTTAGCGCTGGAGTGGACAAAATCCTCAAATTCGGTCTGCATCACGGTGGCTCTTCGGTGTATTTCCTGGACCTCGCCCTGCTGGCTCTTCTAAACAGGAAAGAAGAGGAAAAAATTAAGCTCTAGAGGGTCAACAGAAGAGATTTCAAAAGATGCGTCGCTTTGGCAACTCAGACATGGGAAAAGAAAGCGGTGAGAACATAGAATTGTAGAGATGGTTCAGGAACCTTGGAGGTCTTCTAGTCCAGCCCCCTCCTCAAGGCAGGAGACCCTAAACCATTCTGGACAAATGGCTGTTCCAATCTCTTCTTGAAAACTTCCAGTGATAGAAAAGGACACAATTCTGGCCTTTCCTCTGATTAATTGTTCTCACTGTCAGGAAATTTCTCCTTAGTTCTAGTTTGTTTCTCTCCTTGATGCGTTTCCATCCATTACTTCTTTTCCTGCCTTCAGGTGCTTTGGAGAATAGGCTGACCCCCCTCTTCTTTGTGGCAGCCCCTCAGATATTGGAAGACTGCCATCATGTCGTCCCTACTCCTACTCTTCATTAAGCTAGGTGTACCTAACCGTTCTTTGTATGGTTTTTACAGAATAACAGAGATGGAAGTTTCTCGGCCCTTATTAAGCAAAGGAGAAAACTTTGCCACCTGATTTAGCACAGTAGCAATAGAAGTATCCAATACGTGAATATTTATCCAAAGCACTCAAAACCAAAGCTATTAAAATAGCAACAGTTAAGAACTACTTGTGTTATTTATTTGGCTTTAAAATACCTCTTTCCTTTCGGCAACTGTAACAATTAAAACCCTCTTGATTTCCTAAGGCTTTTTGTTACTGAATAATGCCAAATGTATCTTGATTTTTCCAGCAACTGCAGAAATCTGTTTCACTGCTCAATTATATTTATTATTAAACGGATACTATTATAAACCACTTTTTTTCAGTGCTGTTGTAAACTTCGAACCGTCACTAAATGAATCGTCATAAGTCTAGGACTCCTGTACTTTGTGCTAAGCAGGGATTCTTTTTGGAAGAGTGTTGCAAAAACCCACAACTAGCTAAATCCAGACTGTAACCCACTTTTTAATGTGTGCTGTTCTGCCCACAGTAAAAAGAATGACAATAAAGGTTATCTAACATCTAATCCAATCTAATCAATACCTCAAATTGGTGTGAATCCTGGTTTGTGGACCAGAAGACCACAGGCCGCATTTAGACACCTTTGCACAAAGCAAAACCACGATGGATAAACTATGGCAGCTGATTCCCATACCGCATTAAGCCAAAACTAAACAATTTTTCTCTTTCTCTCTTTTTTCTTCTTCTTGCATCTGGACTATTTTGTGAGGTTGCTGTGACACCACAAAAAAGAAATGTTCCTTTGATTCCCTTGGGGGGAATAAAAATGGACCACAGGAGAAGCCATGAAGCTAAAACGTCCCACCAATATATCCATTTGCGTCGCCTTTCTGCATTTTTAAAGAAAAGCGATGCACAAATCATATTTAAAAACTGATTTTTAAAACTTGTCTTGGCAAAATACTAAGACGTTCTCCCTCGTTCTTTGCTCCCTGATGCTCCTGCATTCGTCAATCCAGCTTTTTTCTTCTTCTTTTTTTTTTTTAAAGACCTGTTGGGTTGCACATGGTGTCACCTTCCTTCCCGGTATGCGTGTGTGTGTGTGTGTGTATTTTTTTTTAATATGAATGTGAAATTAAGCGAAGCTGCCCTTTCCCCCGACGTCCAGAATCCTCTGTTATTAAAAAGTAAAGCACTTTAATAATGAAAAACTTTTTTTTCCCCTCCTGCCCCTCCTTTTCCCCGTGTTTTAACTGTTTAAAATTAATGAGAAGGGCAGACCGGTTGTCAAAGCATTATTGAAAGCGGGCAGTGAGGACCAAATAAACTCGAAAAATCCCCCCCGAGTGTTAAATAAACACAGCCTCACACCTCTCGAAATCCCACTGATGGTTATTGTATACTTTCCTGTAACCGAGCTCAGAATAGACGCCAGCGCCAGGGAAGCAAGGAAAGATTTCAGGCTTCCAATAAAGGCCTTAATTTAAAGACAGCCCAGCGCGAATTCCAGGAGAAAATTAAAGGGACCTCAAATTTAAGTGACAGGTGACTTGAGCTATGCCGAGACTGTCTGGGGATTTAGTAATAATATGGCAATATATTACAAAGGACTTCTCACTACCTGCTTTCTCCAAGGCCCCAGCTCCCTGTCTTTTAGGTTTCGAAATGAGGTATTGGTTCTTCCTTTCTCCAGGAAAAAAAGAGAGAAGGAGAAAAGGAAAAAGAAAGAAAAAAAGGAAGGAAGGAAGGAAGGAAGGAAGGAAGGAAGGAAGGAAGGAAGGAAGGAAGGAAGGGAGGACGGAAGGAAGAAAGAAAAGAGAGAGGAGGGAGAGGGAGGAAGGGAAGCGTGAACGGAAGGAAGGAAGGAAGGAAGAGAGAGAGAGAGAGAGGGAGGGGAGAAGGGAAGGGAGAAAGAAAGGAAGAAGAAGGAAGAAAGGGAGGGGGGGAAGAGAAGGGAGAAAAAAAGAAAAAAAGAAAGAAAGAAAGAGGGAAGGAAGAAGGAAAGGGAGGGAGGGAGGGAGGAAGGAAGGAAGGAAAGAAGAAAAGAAAGAAGGGAGGGAGGGAGGGAAGCAGGGGGATAAAAAGACAACTGTCAAGGTGTCATCTTTTGTGCCCTTCTCCACTAACAAATAGAGTGAAGAAGAAACATAAAATAACAGGCTTGGAGGTCATACTAGTCCCTGCACAAGCCAGAGAGTCTACATCATTTCCTGGACTGACATACTTTGCTTAGCAACTGTTTGAAGTTACAACAGCACTGGAAAAAGTGACTTATGACTGATCCTCACACTTATAACCATTGCAGCATCCCCATAGTCATGGGATCAAAATTTGGGCGCTTGGCATGCACTTATGATCCTATGATTGCCATTTGTCACACCTTCCCAGATGGCTTGGGACACAAGTTTGCTTAACAATTGGGGCAAAAAAAGGTGGTAAAATTGGGTGCAACTCATAAGCTAGTCTTTTGCTCTTGCAAATTTAAAAAAAAAAAAAAGAATGAGGAAACTGGAATAAAATCAGAAGGAGAAAGGAACTGACCTGGTACCTCCCCTGGTTTCCTTTGAAACGGTCATCTTTCATTAAGTTGGACAAAATCTCTTCCATTTTTATCTCTGCAATGCTGGAAACAGAAAAGAAAGGGGGAAAAAAACCACAATAATAAATGACAGTGAAACCTTCGGTCACAATTCTCCAGATTAAAAATCTAGGCAGACGTTGTTGGGGTTTTTTTTCCTTTTAAGTTTTCAAGAATCATCTGTTTTCTTCACTTCTTAGATCAAAGCCAAGAACGATAACGTCGGTTCTGAGTGAGAATCTGTGCAGATTCGAATTTGGCGACAGAATTTGCAATACCACAAATTAAATTGATTTCCTTTGGGGCTTTCTTTGGGCCCCCCCCCCCGCAAGTTTGCCTGGGGATAAAGCTTATTTAAAAATGCGAAGTTTGATAATATTTCCAAAAAAAGCATGTTGGTGTGATCCAAAGTCAGCCAGCTGGCTTTCATCTTTAAGACAGGACTAGAATTCCCAGTGAATGTGAATGCTCCAACACTGGAAGTTTTTAAGAAGAGACTGGACAGCCATTTGTCTGAAATGATATGGGGTTTCTTGTCTGAGCTGGGGGTTGGGCTAGATGACCTCCAAGGTCCCTTCCAACTCTGTTATTCTGGATGGATGGATGGATGGATGATTATTATTATGGATCATTGCAGTCACCCAGATGTTCAGACTGGATTTGGCATTTTTGTCTACCTATCGAGTCCTTACCCAGGACCTGAGATAGGCAGATGTTGTTGTTGTTATTATTATTATTATTAAGATGTCTCATCCAGTATGGAGCAAGTTATGGTTCAAAAACTGAACCAAGAACTGATTCCTAGCATCTTCTTTTCCTCTTCCTTCCCCTTGCCTCTCTCTTTTAGAGTCGTCTCTCTCGAGGTGGAAAACATTCCCATAGAAGCTATTATGGGAGGTTTTTTTGGACTGTGCCAAAAGTCGAACTTAAAGCAATACTTTAAGCAAATAAAAACGGCGGGAAGAATTTCGGCCTACAAAGACAAAACAGCCACAGCCCAGGGATTGTGTTTTCATCATGCTCAACTGCCCGGAACTCCCAAAACGACAAAGTAACACATCAAAAAAGAGAGAGAAAGAGAGAGAGAGAGAGAGAGAGAGAGAGAAAATGACCCACTCTTGAAAAGTGTTCCAAATTGCCATGAATATCTTTGCTTATTCCCACCTGTTAGTTCCACTTGGCCCATTAAAGAGACAGGGAACAAAGAAAGTGATCAGTGATTTTTTTTAAAAAAAAAACAATAAAAAACAAACAGACCGACCGGCTTCGCTCTCCGCACACCCACCGGCACACCATGACCGGCCGGCACATGGCGTTCTTTCTGCCTCGTTTGCCACACTGAATTTGTCAGGATAAATTTCCACACGGCTCCATTTACGAACAGAAAGGGCAATTAGATCTGACGCCACGCCGTGCCCCAGGCGTGAATCTGTCTCTCCAGATCTGATCTGCAATCCGTTATATCCATATATTCGCAGTCCCTGACTGCCTGTGTACATGCACACAGATATATAAGCTAATTTTGCAGATGGCTCGTGCACCTCTCGAAAAAAGAGAAAAAAAAAGAAGAGAAGAAAAAAAATCTTTGTCCTGAAAGCAAAAAAGGTTTATGAAGCGGAGTTTCACAGCTCTTAGGAACTGCGATGAAACAGCCGGCAAATTCCTTTGGTGGCCAAGCTTCAGGAGAGCAAAAACAAAAATTAGAGCAGGGTGTTTGAAGGAGAAGGCCTTTTATTCAGGGGCAAATATTTAGACATGAATAGAATATTTGTAGCCTCAGGGTTGAACTGTGGGGGTCCTTGGTGCTCTCTGAGCTAGGGGGTTTTCTTGGAGACGTTTCATTACCCGGCTAGGTAACGTTATCAGTTTAAGAAGGGAGCAGAGTTTGCTCCTTGTTTATATACACTGTCTTGCTCTGCCAGTGTTGAAAGCCGGCTGGGTGACTTTGGGGCCAATCACCAGGAGATGGTGAGTTCTAGTCCTGCCTTAGGCACGAAAGCCAGCTGGGTGACTTTTAAGCCAATTGCCAGGAGATGGTGAGTTCTAGTCAATCATCAGGTGATGGTGAGTTCTAATCGTCCCTCAGACATGAAGGCTACCTGGGTGACTTTGGGTCAGTCCCTCTTTCTCAGCCCAATTCACCTCGTAGCATCATTGCGGAGAGAACAGGAGGAAGGAAGGAACATTCGGTGTGTTAGACCCCTTGAGTTATTTATAAACAATAATAAAGGTGTGATTTTTTTAAAAAAAAAAAATCAAATAAATAAAGTCCACCCCACCAAATATTAACCTAATTTCTTCTGCAATCAAGTAACATCATTGTTCTGCTTCTCCTTTTTACAATAATAATAATAATAATAACAACAACAACAATTCTCTCATTGCTCTCTAATATTCCAGGTTGTTTCTGCTTGTACATCACTCAGGACGAAACCTAGAACATTTTTTTTAAAAAAAAATCACGCTGAAGTTTTCATCTAACTTTAGTTTTACACTAACTGTTCACCCCATCTTTCTTTCTTTCTTTCTTTCTTTCTTTCTTTCTTTCTTTCTTTCTTTCTTTCTTTCCTTCCTTCCTTCCTTCCTTCCTGCCTTTCTCTCTCCCTCCCTCTCTCCCTCTTGCAAACAAGATGTGGGGCTGCAGCTGTTATATTAGCTAAAGTTGGCCAAGGATTTTGACACCCGGTGGGGGGAAAGGGGGGGGGAACAGAGAAGATTTGTGTGACTCACTTAATCTTGTAGGAAGCCAGAAAGCTGACATATTCGGCCTCTGAAGGTAAAAGGATGAGCAGGCTGTTTCCAGGGCTGCCAATTCGGGCTGTCCTCCCGACTCGGTGGATGTATTCAGCGAGCGAAGCTGGTGGATTATACTTCCCAGGAATTGGGGGGAGGGCAGGGACGGGGGGAGAGAAAAATGACAACGTGAGCTAAGTGGAGAATGAATTAGCAGATTGCACGAGTGATTAATTAGAGTCTCCGAGATCATTTTCAAAAATAACACACCCCCTAAACAGCCCTGGCGGCATCCCTTTTATTTTTTAAGGAGGGGGAAAGAAAAATAAAGGAAATAGGAAGAAATTGGGGATCAGAAGCTGTTAAGGCCTACTGGGATTATTTATTTATTTATGTATTTTTGGGGCCCATGAAAACATATTGCGTCACTACTGGCCGTCCTCAAACTGCAACTGTTCGTTTCGTGACCGTTTGGTTATGACCACACGGGGAAAAAAGTGAGAAAAGAAGACCACTTACCTGCACAATCCAGGTGACTTGAGGGAGATCTAAACCGCGAGCAGCAACATCCTATTTAAAAAAAAAAAAATCAGAAAAGTCTCTGTTATGGCCCTAATAATGTCTTTTGTTTTTTATGATTCTAAAGGCCAGTGAGTTTAAAAAAAAAAAAAACTCCTCCAAAGTCCTTTCATATTGGTGAAAAGATCTGTCAGTTTGTGGGAAGAAAGACAATCAGAAAGTCTCCCTCCGTGAACGTACTTCATGATGCATTTGTCCTAAATAAGGACAAATTCTGTGGCTAGGATTCTTGCAACTTTTGCCTTTTTGTCTCAACAAATCTTGTTGAAGAAACTTGGGAAGAATTGGGTTGGAGGAAAAAAAGTTAGCTTCCACCCTTTCTTTCCTTCCTTCCTTCCTTCCTTGCTTCCTTCCTTCCTTCCCTCCCTCCCTTTCCTTCCTTCCTTTCCTTCTCTCCCCCCCATTTTCCTTCCTTTCCTTAACCCTCCCTCCCTTCCTCTCCTCCCTTCCCTTCTCACTTCCTTCCTCCTTCCCTTCATTTTTTTCTCTTTTCATTCCTTCCTTCCCTTTGTGGACAGCATCTCAAAGGGAAGGAACATTCCCTAGTTTTTTGGGAAAGTAAAGCTTCCTTTCTCTCTCTCTTCCCTCCCTCTCCCTTCCGAATCCTTTTCTCTCCTTCCCTCCCTCCCTCCCCCCTCCCTATTTCCTTCCTTCCCTCTCTCCCTCCAATTCCAAAAGTCCTCATCCACTTCATTATCCCCACTCTTTCCTTTAGTTCCCTTCTGCTCTGCCAAAACGGGGGGGGGGGGAGATTGGGTTTGACCAGGCGCTTCAGCTTATTAGCTGCCATTATGCCAAGATGCCGGGTTCCAATTCAAGGAGCGGACTGGGGGGGGGGGAGAGGCTTTACTCCAGCCAGCAGCGCCTGGCACCGCCTGCCCGCCCGTCCACTTGATGAAGCCCGCACCCTGCCAAAAAGGGTTATTAGTTTAAGCAGATCAAGGCAGGACCCCATGCAAAGGCGTAATGAGTATGCAAATACATCAGTGCTCATTACAGTGTTTCCACCGCTCTGGGTTTTGTGTTTTGTTTTGTTTTTTTCAACCTGGCTGGTGCAATCAAGGCCAGCTGCCTCCCGATCCCAGGCTCGTGCGTCATGGGCTGCGCCTCCCGCTGCATTTCAGCCAAAGACAACCCATAGCAAGAAATGTTTATAAAATGGGGCAAAACTCACTTTTTGATAAGAGTTAGGCTGGGATCTGAAAACTTGGGAGGCGCCGCTCTGCAAGGTTTATTTATTTATTTATTTGCATCCAGTCTTTGTATTATTTTTTTATAAATAACTCAAGATGAGAAACAGACCTACTGCTTCTTTCTCCCGCCTGTTTTCCTCCACAACAATCCTGTGAGGTAGGATGAGCTGAGGGAGAGGAACTAGTCCAAAGTCACCTAGCTGGTTTTCATGCCTAAGGCGGGTCTAGAACTGCCAGTCTCCTGGGGATTGGCCCAAAGTCACCTAGCCAGCTTCCATGTGTAAGGCAGGACTAGAACTCCCCTTCTCCTGGAGATTGGCCCGAAGTCACCCAGCCAGCTTACATTCCTAAAATGGAACTAGGACTCCCAGTCTCCTGGGGATTGGCCCAAAGTCACCCAGTCAGCTTTCATGTGTAAGGCAGGACTAGAACTCCCAGTCTCCTGGTGATTGACCCAAAGTCACCCAGCTGGTTTTCATACCTAAGGCAGGACTAGAATTCAGCCCCCCACTTTCTATCCTGATGCCTTAACCTTTTCACCAAATTGGCTCTCTCTAGACCAAAAAAATATATATTCTGATATTTATAGCAAGCTAAGACTGAGGTTTCTTTCTACTAGCCCACCAGGAAGAACAATTCCATTATTGCCGCTTTTCCCATGCAGTTGCTAAATAAGAAAACTAATTTGATATATAAAGAAATAAACAAATTAAAATACGGAGGCCCACACTGCAGAGGACCAAAGATGTCTCTTCTAAGAGTTGGATTACAACCCCCATCGATCTGTGGGATGGAGAGACTGGAATTGTAGTCCGAGGCGCTTAACAGGTGCCCAAACGCAGGATGACAGCCATCACCCCCATTCTAGGAGAATGGAAGAGGACGGCAATCTGATTGGGTGACTCCATAGTGAGACAGTCTCCCGATTGGCCAAAATGGAGCATAAATGCCTCCTCTTCCAGTCTACCCTGGGAATAAGACCACTTGATTGGCTGAGCCCTAATACAAATACGCTCTTGGGTAGAATTCACGCCATTAGAATGGTTTTAGGCAAGGTGACAGGACAGCCTTGGCAATTATGTTCAGAATGATAATTTAAATAAATTAATTAATTTTAAAAAAGCTCTCAAATTAGAGCCAGCCGGCCATGCTAGGCAGGTCACAAAATCTTGGGGCAAAAAAAGAGAGGCCGCATCTTCTAAACCAGCCTGGGCATCGTGGCCTGCCCACCGACGTGAAGCTTCCAGGTCCAGATGGAAGCTCCTACATGCCGGTGCCAGCTTGTCAGTCGGACTCCGATGATTCATTTCTTTGCCCCAAAGAGCACCTTAGCAAAATGGGAGGAGTGGGGGGAGGGGTCAGAACCGGACGTGGGAGGCCCCCCCCCGTGTCTCTCCCCCTGCCTGCCAAGAGTCATTAAGGCCGAGCGTGGAAAGCCGTCAGCAGGGAGGATGCCTCCGCCAGCCGGGCAACAGATTGGGCTGCGTCATCGGCGGAAGGGAAGGGTAGGGCGGCAGCCCCCAAGCTGTCAGGAAGATTGGGGGGGGGGGAACGGCTGCCTGTGCCCGCCAGAAAACTGGCAAGACGTGTTAGCGTGATGGACTCAATGGGCAAAGGGAAGGAACAGATGCTCCTTCAAAGGGGATGTCCAGCCCTGAAGGGCGGCAGTGGCTCCTTAGAAAGGCCAAAGCTAAACTTGGAAGATGATAGGTCAGACACTGGAAGACAGGCAGGTAGGTAGGTAAATAGAGAGATAGATAGATAGATGCAGGAGGTAGGTAGATAGACAGACAGACCGGTAGGTAAGTAAATAGACAGAGGTAGGTAGGTAGGCAGGCAAACAGACAAAACAGAAAGACAGAGAGGTAGGTAAGTAGATAGACAGACGGAGGTAGGCAGGTAAATAGACAGACAGACCGGTAGGTAAGTAAATAGACAGAGGTAAGTAGGTAGGTAGGTAGAGAGAAAGACAAACAGAAAGACAGACAGGCAAGTAGGTAATTAAAAGACAGGCAGGTAGGTAGGTAAATAGATAGATGCAGGCAGGTAGGTAAATAGACAGGCAGATTGGCAGGTAAGTAAATAGACAGACAGGTAGGTAGGTAGATAGACAGAGGTAGGTAGGTAAATAGGCAGATAGACAGGCAGACAGGTAGGTAGGTAAATAGACAGAGAGAGAGTTAGGTAGGTGAGTAGATACAGAGATATAGACAGATAGAAAGACAGACAGATAGATGAATGGATGGAGAGATAGAGCGCTAGACGACATGGATACATACATGGATGGATAGATGGATGATAAGACAGATAAAAATAGAATACTGTTAAAACACACACACACACACACACACAAACAGTTTTGCTCCGAAGTCCACAATCCTAACCCAGGTTAATCACGATCACGCTCCCTTCCTAAGTTTGGATCTGGCATCGTCCAAATTAATTTGCTACTTTTCTCTGGCAAACCCCGAGATATGTCAGGCACCGAATACAGCATTATTTGGCAACTCACTGTGCAGAGTAACACCCCAGTCTTTGACTGCAGAAAAGCCTGGAACACGGACGATCTCTCCTAAAAGAAAAGGAGAGAAAAAAAAACATAAAACGTGCTGCCAGATCAGGCAAGTAAAACTAATTCCTTAAGAAGATTAAAAAAAAAAAAAGGATTGCCAAGGTTACCAACCATTTTAATTTTTTTTGAGGTGGGAGGGCAGAATCTTTGGGCCTGCTGATTTCCAATGGCTAACGAACAGAAGACTTTATGCACAAAAGCAAACACTTTTTGGCTGCTGCTTTTAACTGAATTTTACTTGTTTAAGATTGTAAATTTCAGGCGCAAGAGACGTATTTCTGGCTTATGTTGCAGTAAGGAAGCTTCCTCGCTAGAGGTTAAAATAAAGGGGGTGGGGGGAGTTTATAGGAAGGATCTGAACTCACCTCTTGTTTCATGTCACCGTGCAAACGTGCAAAGGTCAACGGAGAAGGAGGGGCTGGTGCTAACCCTGATCCTTCACCCCCGGACTCCTCACATAACACTTTTTGGAAGAGGATGTAGTGAAACTCCACCTGCTCGCAGCTCGAGAAGAAAACAATCATCTTGTGGCGTTTTTCGAACTGCAGAAGAGAACAAAATCCGAATTCAACATTGATGATATGTTGGGACTCCAAAGAGAGTCAGGGTAGGGGGGCGGAGTCAAAAGAGGCATCAGCCCAGAATTTCTACGTAGCCATAAGCAAGCGTTTATGACCAGTCGTACGCCCCTGCTTTCTGTACTGTTGTAACTTCAAACAGCCAGTAAATGAATGGTTGTAAATTGAGAACTACTAGCTCAATGAATTAGGAATGTGTCGGTCTGCTTTCGAATGCTATCTGGACATTTTGGGACTTAAAACACGTCTTGCTTTGAAGAACGGAGCTCATACACCCAAATTCAATAAACAAAGAAACGAATAAAACATTTCCATCCCAGTTGTAACTCTAGACAGAGAGTATATAGAATCCACCTCTCTAAGCATCTGGGCTTTTCTCAGAACTACTTTGAACTTCTTACCTTGAATTTCCCAAACAGGAAAGCCGCCAACGTCACTAGTCTTAGCTTGCCTGGGACCACTACCACGTTCTGACGGAGTTTTTCGGGCACGGCAAAACTGCCTCGCTGTTCCTGGGCAGGAAGAACGGCCACAACCTCCCGAAGGTGGTCTTTTTCCCGTGATGCATTTGAACCCAGGGCTTCTGACGCCACCGAAATGCAGGCTGGGTCTTGCAAGCTGATATGAGCTAGTCTCGAGACCCCTGTGGAGAATCGGTGGGTGGATGAACAAGAAATAGGTGACAGAAATGGCAAATTGACTACTTTGATCAAAGAAGGGAAAAAAATACAGATAGTCCTCAACTTACGACACAGCCCAGGTCATAAAATGGGGCAAAACTCACAAAAGCTGTCTCACTGAGCGACGGAAATGTTACGCTTAATTGTGGTCCTAGGGCTACCTGCGTATTGTCTCGTTCTTTAATTTTTTTTTAAATGCTTCTTATTTGTAATGCTGGTCCGGGACCCTCATAAAAATTATCGCTATCGTTATTATCACCGTTGACAGCCAAGCCCTGCTTCCCCTTCCCTCCCTTTAAATATTTTGATCCCTGCAAGCTGTATTTTGCCATTTCCTAGATCCAAAAAACTCCCTCTGTTGGTGATTTTCTTGGAAAGCAGCAGAGAAAAAACGAATAGCGTAATCCAAAATATTTTCAAGAGCCCTTTTCTGCAAATCTGGGAGTTTTTAGCCACTGGAAAGAAAATCCTCAGAATGCAATTGGCAAAATTACCTCCTCACCAGCTGGACTGGGATCAGCTTCCAACATTTTTAGTTATCAAGTCCCAGAATTAATACAGATTTCGACTAGAGTTAACCCCAAACTGGTTAAGGCTATTAGTGGATCAAGGAATCAGATTAGACACCAGGAGAGGGTGAATTCTAGTCCCTTCTTAGACGGGGGTTGGACTAGAAGACCCCTGAGGTCCCTCCCAACTCTGTTATTCAGTTAGGATTAGACTCACCTTCAGAAAGTGTGGCTGACAAAAGAACGTTTTGCCGTTTCGGGCTGGCTGCATTGACCGCGTTTAATATCGCGGCCACGGCCTTTTCAAAGCCCAGATCCAAAATTCTGGGGGGGGGGGAGGACAGAAATGGGAAATCAGTCAGAGAAGCATCTTACACCCACTATGTTTACTGAGTACGATGTACAATTTTGGAAGAAGAAGAAGAAGAAGAAAAAAAGATTTTTAAAGTCTCGATTCACCCATGCCAGTTTTTCTTTTACTTAATTTTCCTTTCAAATTAAAAAAAAAAAAATTAAAATCCTGAAATGAATAAGTAAGCCTCTGAACTTTCAAGGTTTAGTACTCTAAAGCTTAGAAAATTTATCACTTATTTCCTTTTATCGATATAGACAGATAGGTATCAAGCACAACCAAGGTACAAGTAGTCCTTAACTTACAAGCATTTGTTTAGTGACTGTTCGAAGTTATGACGGCAGTGGAAAAAGTTGACTGTCCTTGCACTTATGGCTGCAGAGAGGAAATCTCACTTCTGCCACCTGAGCAGATCTTTCTATCAAATATCCAGAATGTTCCTACCTGTCAGCCTCATCCAGAATCAGCCACCGGATACAGCGGAAGTGGATGCACTGGGTAGATGTGATGTGATCCACCAACCGTCCAGGAGTTGCCACGAGGATGTTGATTCCTTTGCGCAATCTGTTGAAAGGAGGGGAAGTAAGAATGAGAAGGAAAGAAGGAGAGGGAGGGAGGAAGGAAAGGAAGGAGATAAGAATGGGAAGGAAGGAAGAGGGAGGGAAGATTAAAAGAGAAGGAATGAAAAAAATGAGGAAGGAAGGAGGAAGGGAGGAGACGGAGGGAGGGAGGAAAGAAGGAAAGGAAGGAGATAAGAATGGGAAGGAAGGAGGGAGGGAAGATTAAAAGAGAAGGAATGAAAAAAAATAAAAGAGGAAGGAAGGAAGGAAGGAAGGAGAGGGAGGGAGGGAGGAAGGGAGATAGGGAGGAAAGAAAGAAAGGAAGGAGATAAAAATGGGAAGGAAGGAGGGAGGAAAGATTAAAAGAATGAAAAAAAATAAAAGAGGAAGGAAGGAAGGAAGGAAGGAAGGAGAGGGAGGAAAGAAGGAAAGGAAGGAGACAAGAATGGGAAGGAAGGAGGGAGGGAAGATTAAAAGGAATGAAAAAAATAAAAGAGGAAGGAAGGAAGGAAGGAAGGAAAGAAGGAAGGAAGGAAGGAAGGAAGGAAGGAAGGAAGGAAGGAAGGAAGGAGAGGGAGGGAGATAGGGAGGAAAGAAGGAAAGGAAGGAGATAAGAATGGGAAGGAAGGAGGGAGGGAAGATTAAAAGAGAAGGAATAAAAAAAATAAAAGAGGAAGGAAGGAAGGAAGGAAGGGAGGGAGGGAGGGAGGGAGATAGGGAAGAAAGAAGGAAAGGAAGGAGATAAGAATGGGAAAGGAGGAAGGGAGGGAAAATTTAAAGAAATGAAAAAAGATAAAAGTGGAAGGAAGGAAGGAAGGAACGAAGGAAAGGGAGAAAAGGATTCAGAAGGGAGAGGGATTAAGGAAAGGAGGGAAGAGAGAGAGAAAGGAAGTTTTACTTTCCAAAAAACTAGAGAATGTTTCTTCCCCTTGAGGTGCTTTCCACAGCCCATACCTGGCTTTTTCCGATTTCTTCTTTTCGCCCCCCATCAAGACTCCTGGCACAATCCAGGTAAATGGCTAAAAAGTACAGGAAATGGAGATAGTGAAACTTTATAGTGGGGAGGGGGGGGGAGAGAAAATAAGCCTGTTCAGCATCCGTTGGTTTTGTTTTCTCTGACAGAAATGCCAGTAGGGCCACCATTTTGTGAGGCCAGGCGATCTCCACATTCCAACTGGGCTCAAAATGGCGGCTCATCTCATAATGTACTTAAGATGTCTGACAGAGGGGAAGACAAAGGCCTCACAAACATTACACCCCAAAATTACGCATGTTACCTAAACAGGTGTTTTAATTTTTAGATACAAATTCTTTCCTCAACCTCAAGACTCATTTAATGTGATGGGAGGGGGGATTTTTTCTTAAATAAAGTCCTCTTTCCAGGCAAGGAGCAACAGAGAGGTGCCAGAGACAATAAACAAACATCAATTATGTCTTCCATCTTTTTCAATCCATGCTTACCTTTAAGAGCTTCTGGAGGGTTTCAAAACTCTGTAGAACTAGCTACAAGGAAAAAAAAGTAGGATTTATTACACCATTCACACCACCCTACTCTGCCTTTAGCTATTTATCCCCTAAATAGGAGCTTTCGCCACAACCGTATCTATCTGTTGTTAAAAAACATACAGGATTTGCTCTGGAGACAAATGTAACTTCCATCATCCCCTGCTGCTTGTCAGCTAGCTGGGGATGATGGGAATGATCTGAACTTGCAGGAAAGAGAAATGCGGGGTTGATCAATGGGGTTGATAAGTAGTGATTCCATGTTATCAAAAAACCCTGAAATATTCAAAGGCATTGCCGATTGGGATTAAAATTAAAACTGGGAAGATGGGTAAATAAACTCACCTCTCTAGTTGGAACCAAGATAAGGGCATATGGTCCGTCACTACGCTAGAGGAAGGAACAAGGAGACAGATCAGGTTGAGGAGCAAAAGAGAGGCCAGGCCAATACTGGTAGAATATTTGTAGCTCCAGGGTTGAACTGTGGGGTCCTTGGTGCTCTCTGAGCTAGCTGGTTTTCTTGTAGACATTTCCTGACCCAATTAGGCAACATCATCAGTGCTAGTGGGGTTTGCTCTCTGCTCATATACAGTAGCTCTGAGCTTGGCTGTTTTCTAGCAGAGGTTCCATACCCAACAAGGCTGCATCATCAATGCTACTCCAGTGCTAGTCCTGATATTACCTAGTTGAGTCATGAAATGTCTGCAAAAAAATAACCACGCTCATAGAGACAGCACTAAGGACTCTACAGAATATGTCGTTTCAAGAATAGAAATATATATATATACATATATATATATATATATATATATATATATATATATATATATATATATATATATATATATATATTGGCCTCTTTAGTAGGGCAAAGTAGCTTTTCTGCAATCAAAAGTCTGTGCTTACCTTGATTTTGGGCTCCAGTTTTTGTAAGGATTGTATGAGGGGGATGCTATAGGCAAGTGTCTTTCCTTGAAGAGAGTAACAAGGAGAGGGAAATTGGAAGGAAATCGGAAGGAAGGAAGGATAGAAAAAAAAAACCATTGTAAGCAGAATTTTGCAGATGTTTAACACCTCCACATTATCTCTCTCAAAAAAAAAAAAACCCCAAACAGGCTCAATCCCACTTACCTGTGGAGACCCCTTAAACCCTACAGGGTGTCTCAAACCACCAGGTTGCCCCATCTCCATCCTATTCTGCCCTGCATGGTTAGTCATTCCCAAACAGGAGCAGCTAAATCCTCACCTGAGCCTGTCTGTGATCTGATCAGAGCATCCTTTCCTTGTAGCAACATGGGAATGGCCTCCTTCTGAACACTGGATGGGTTTAAAGATAAAAAGGGACCATCAACAAGTTTTTTTTAAAAAAAACAACAACAACAAGGTGGTGCTTTCACTCCACTGTTTCACCGTCAAGTTGTGTATGATTATCCTTAGAGCCTATTTCATTTATCACCTTTATCACATCATTTATCATTTATCATCTGGCATGCTGCATAGTTTTCTGGCTTTTTGTGTGGTTGCACACAGACATGCATTACATAACTTGATAACTAAAATGGCTTTGATTCTGCTCTGCACGCATCTATCTCTCGGCCTAGATATGATAGCTTTATTTGATCCCCGTGTGCGTTGTATATACAAAAACACACAAGAATAAAATTTGTTAGAATATATTTCTTGCATTCATATTCCTCCCCCCAAAAACCCCATAAATCCTTTTACCTGGTCATGCTCGATATTTTCAAGGATGAGGATATTGTTGAAATCTAACACAGAAAAAAAAATATGTTAGTGCTGGAGTTGTATTATGACTAGAGTTTAGTTGGCCCAAATCCATTTAGTTTAGCACAACGCTTTAATTGTACTTTGGCTTGTTTAAACATCGCTTATTGAAAAAGCTACTGTAGAGTTCCCTTCCCACATTAAGCTATAAAAGCAGGGCAAAAATCAGTGTCTGCACCAGGACAGAAGATGACATAGGTACTGTGTATTATCATACGTATTTGTCTCTGACATCTCTATATAATGACAACTGTGCCATTCACACGGTAATAGATGCACATCACTTTGATACCTTCACTGGTTGTTATGGTGGCATAGAAAATCAAACAAGATAGTTGTGACTGTTGGGTGAGCTTAACCAGAAATGCAGAAAATGGATTGAAATGTTCAACACTGGGAGAAACGTTTTAACTGTGGAGAGAAAAGGCCACCTGGCCACCTTAAAGCTCTATGAACAGAAGGTTGAATGGGATGGTTTCCAAATTCTTTTCCTGTGGTATAATTCCATGACCCAAAAATTCTTCCTGAAAACAGTCTGGATTAAAGGGAGGATTCGTTGAAACACTGCTGCACATCTTAGTGAAAGAACTTACCAAGTGAGGGTGGAGATCCAGCTGGTCAAAGGAATCTGAGGTGAAAATCTCCTCTTGAACTTGTTTCACCGCAGTTCTAGATAAGGAGCAGATCAACCCAGGAACCAATCAAAATTTGACATAAAGCAAAATTGTTTAAGTCAAAGATTAACCCAGAACTTCAAACCACGATACACCAACATGTTTCAGAAGCAAAATCCAAAATGGCAGTTACAGAAACGCAGCAGCAGATAAATAATAACAGTTTACAATGAATCGGTCTTTTATTTAGTGAAGAAAAGTTACGTTACCTCTGAATGTGGGGGATCTCTGGATTGTTTTTAAAAAGGCTGGAAGTCTTTACAAAAGGTCTCTTGTTAATGTCGCCTGCTCTGGCTTCAGACGAAAGTTTCTCCAGGGATGATACTGGTAGCCCAGTTCCTTTGATGTGAGTTTGGGGTTTTTTCCATGGCTTTTTGTTCTGGGCCACTGGAGAAGAGCGCTGCTTTTTTACAGGAGTGGCTTCCTGTGCCCCTTCTAATGTTCTTTTCCAGGCCTTAGAGCAGAAAAGAAAAGCCTGTTAGCAAATGATTCTGAATAGAGCTGGAAGGGACCTTGGAGGTCTTCTAGTCCAACCCCCAGCTCAAGTAGAAGACCCTATACCATTCTGAACAAACAGCTGCCCAATCTCATATTTAAAACTCCAGTGTTGGGCCACCCATAACCTCTGGAGGCAAGTCGTTCCACTTTCCAATTACAGAAGGGACGGAAGAGATCTTGGAGGTCTTCTAGTCCAGCCCCCTGCTCAAGCAGGAGACCCGCCTAGACCATTTCAGACAAATGGCTGTCCAGTTGCAACGCACCCCTTCTATATAAACCAACGTCCCTCTTCCCCCCTCCCCAATGGCAATGAGCCTACCTTTTTCCCACGCCCCCATTTTGGGTTGGGGGGTCTCTGTCCTGCAAGGGGGCGGCAGGGCCTGGGCAGAGGCAACGTGCTGACGTTAATAAGCAACCCTTCGTCTGAAGCCATGCTAGGCGAATCCAGCTCCGGTAGACAGTTCCTGCACAGGGAGGTTCGACTCCCAAGTTTGCAAAGAGGCTCCTAACGAGAAAGCGGCCGCAGCAAAACCAGGAGCGCAACTGGAAAAAGTAATAATAACAATAACAATAACAGTAATAATCTCGCAACTCCAAACTTGCAGCCAGGCCATGCCTGCAAGCGTATTGCCTGGGAAAGGACCCCCGGTATAGGTGGCTAGTTGATCGCCTCGCCAAAATAATCAAAACCAACCCCCTTTGATTAAAATGGAAAGGAAACCATTTGTCTGGAATACCGTAGTACGGGGTCCCCTGCTTGGACTAGAAGACCTCCAAGGTCCCTCCCAACTCTGTTATTCTCTTAAACACAGCAGAGAGTTGTTTTCATGCAGGCAGCGTGATAGTCACGCTCCTCCCGGGGTCCTTTCTCGAGGCGTCGCGCGCGGCGCACGCGCGCTGGTAAGCCGGCGGCAAAGATGGCGGCGGCGGTGGCGGAGCAGAGCCCGGCGGACGGGACGGCTACGTCCCCCTCGCCGTCGCCGCCCGACGGGGCCGAAGGGCCGGGGAAAAAGGACGAGGCGGCGGCGGCGGGAGGGAGGGCAGGCCCCAGCAGCCGCGCCGGGTTCCGGGTGACGGCGGTGCGGCGCGATCCGGCGGTGCGGCTGCAGCACAGCGTGAGCGGCTCGGAGCCGCTCGCCTGGTCGGAGGACCACCGCGTGTCGGTCAGCACCGCCCGCAGCGTGGCCGTCCTCGAGCAGCTGAGCGACATCCGCGGCGGCAGCGATCTCGTCATCCATCGCACGGCCGTGCCGGCCCCCAACGCCGCCTGTCATCTCAAGGTGGGTCCGGGGAACTGCCCGCCACTGGGTGGAGGGGGGGCGAGGGAAGGGCCTAGGTGGGCTTCTCCTTTCCTCCTCCTCGTCTCCTTCTCTTTCTCCTCCTCTTCCCTTTTCTTTCCTCCTTTCTTTCTCCTCTTCCTCTCTTCCTCTTCTCCTCTGCCTCCTCTTTTCCTCTTCTTCTCCGCCTCCTCTTCCTTTTCTTTCCTCCTCCTCTTCCTCCTCCTTCCTTCCTTTTTCTCTTCCTTCCACCAGTTTCCCTGACTCCCTAGTCAGTTGGGGGATTATGGGAGTTGGAGTCAAAGGTCCCATGGTGTGGAAATAGCAGCTGGAGCACCAAATCCAAGGGTAAAAGATTGACGCCTCTTTTGAACTATTGCGATTATGTTCTTTGGCTGTCTAGGAACGAGGAAAGCTTCAACCTGAATGAAGAGGGTGGGCATTGGTCTCATTTTATATTCTAGTGGCTTGCCTTGTCAGTGTCGGTGGAGGCAGCCCTGGTGGTTCGTTGTTCGGACTGTTACTTAAACTGTTAGCTTGTTCACCAGTTCCTTGATTGGGGTATTGTTTACGTCTTGATTGCTGGCCTGGTGTTTATCTTGGTGTTTATTTTTGCTCATCTGAGTGTTGATTGCTAGTGAGGAAATGTTTTGGACTTTTTGTTTCCTTTTGTTTTGTTTTTTTTTATTGTATCTTTTGAGTGGTATGTTTTATGTGCCTGTTAATGATTTGCCTGCCAGGCTTCCAGGAATTCTCTGTTGATTTTGGACTTGGTTTGATCTAGGATGCATACAGTTTCCAAGCCCAAGCTGCAGTTGAGCCTGTCTACCACATGTTATAAACAAATGAGTACCTCGATGTAGTGTTTTTAGTGCTTTAGACTTGGCTGTTGTTTCCTTCATCATATACTGCCATCAATACCTAGCAAGTCACATGCTGAAAAAAGCTGTTATCATTTTGAACACAGTGTAAAACCTGCTCTCCCTTCCTCCCCACAGGTTGGCTCCAAAAAGGAAGTGGCTGAATGCAAACACAAGTTTGCAAATTCCGACGATCCAGTCGTGATCCAGGCGTTCACCTTGGACAGAGTCTTCAATCCCGAAGGGAAGTCACTGTCCTCCATGCGAGGCTTCAGATACTGCAGTTGGTCTCCGCTGGGCTGCGACGCCAACGGCCGGTGTCTCTTAGCCGCGCTGACCATGGACAACAGGCTGACCATCCACGCTAACCTGAACAGACTTCAGTGGGTGCAGTTAGTTGACTTGACTGAACTCTATGGGGAATGCCTGTATGAAAACAGCTACAGACTTTGTAAGACAGAGCCCTTCCGAGAAGACTTAGGGGACTTTGCTGAATTCCAGAGAAGACACAGCATGCAGACCCCGGTCCGCATGGAATGGTCCGGCATTTGCACCATCCAACAGGTGAAGAACAACAACGAATGCCGGGATGTGAGCAGCGTCCTTTTGGCTGTGATCTTTGAAAACGGGAACATTGCCGTGTGGCAATGCCAACTTCCGTTTGTCGGCAAAGAATCCATCTCGTCCTGTAACACCATCGAGTCGGGCATCTCTTCCCCCAGCGTCTTGGCCTGGTGGGAATATGAGCATAGCAACAGGAAGATGAGCGGACTGATTGTGGGCAGTGCTTTCGGGCCAGTTAAGATCCTCCCGGTCAACCTGAAAGCGGTCAAGGGTTACTTCACCTTGAGGCAGCCGGTGGTTTTGTGGCAGGAAGTGGATCACTTGCCCGTGCAGAACATCAAGAGCATCCCTCTCTATCACCCCTATCAGAAATGTAGCTGCAGTTTGGTGGTAGCGGCGAGAGGCTGCTACCTCTTTTGGTGTCTCCTCTTGATATCCAAAGCAGGCTTGAACGTCCACAACTCCCACGTGACCGGGCTCCACTCTCTACCCATCGTCTCCATGACTGCCGATAAGCAGAACGGCACTGTCTACACCTGCTCCGTAGATGGGAAGGTCCGGCAGCTGATTCCCATCTTCACCAACCTGGCACTCAAGTTCGAGCACCAGCTGATCCAGTTGTCGGACGTGCTGGGCTCCGTCCGCAGCCACGGGATTGCCGTCAGCCCCTGCGGCGCGTACCTGGCCGTCATCACCACCAAGGGCATGGTCAAGGGTCTCCACCCCATCACCAAAGCCTACCAGGTTCAGTTTGTCACCCTGAAAACCTGTGAGGAAGCCGCTGCCCAGCTGCTGGAATCATCCACCCAGAGCCTTTACCGGCAGGTGGACCTCACCGACCTGGTGCGCTGGAAGATCTTGAGGGAGAAGCAGATCCCGCGCTTTCTGCAGGAAGCCCTGGATCAGAAGATCGAACGTTTGGGCTCCACCTACTTGTGGCGTTTTAAGCTCTTCCTCCTGCGGATTTTGCACCAGTCGCTGCAAGCCTCTCCTTCGGAGGCCTTGTGGAGGCCCACACACGAGGACACCAAGGCCTTAATCGTAGACTTCTCCGAGACAGGCGGCGGCGAGGAACAGCCTTTAGAACAGGGCGGGCAGGATCCGAGGGAGGCCCCCAAAGAGAAGGGCTCTCAGCCAGCCCCCTCGACTGGTGGGGGCCAGGAGCAGCAGACGAAAGAGAAGATGCTGGCCATCCAGGATCAGATCGAAGCGGTCGAAATGCACCTGGTGCGAGAACACATGAAGCGAGTCTTGGGCGAGGTCTACCTCCACACGTGGATAACGGAGAATACCAGCATTCCCACTAGGGGCGTTTGCGATTTCTTGACCTCCGATAAAAGCTACGAGGACAGGACCGCACGGGTGAGGGCAGCCGGACCTCAGAACCGTTGGGCTGGAGAAACATCCTGAGTGGCTGGTGGATTTCACGCCCTGTAAATGGCTTTACGCAGTTGCTTCCATTGCTCTCCCACGGGGCTATCTGCACCTGTGGCAGGTTTCCTCCCCGCCCCTCCCTTTCTTATCACCTTAAATTCATTCCATTTTAAGCAAGATTTTAAGGGGGAGGGTTTCCATCTCCAGCTCTTCCCAAATCTCTGCTCCTGCCGCCGTCTCTCCTTGTAAGCAGCATGGCCATGTTTTCCCAGGTGCTGATCGGGCATATTTTGAAGAAGATGAACAAGCAGACTTTCCCCGAACGCTGCAGTTTGTGTAAAGAGATCCTGCCCTTCACGGACTGCAAACAGGCCATTTGCTCCAATGGACACATTTGGCTGAGGTACGTTAAATGTTCCCTGGGACATTTCTTTGTCTCCCCCCCCCCAAAAAAAACGTAATGCCTAAAGAAGAAGCTCAGCTAGCTGGACTTTCTTGGGGAGGGGGGTGTTTCTTTGAAAATGTTTCGCTTCTCATACAGGAAGCTTCGCCGCTTTAATTTGCATGTTGACCAAAATGCTATCGTCGTTAGATCAGAAAATACTTTTTAAGATAGGGTGATTGAAACTTTCCTTTTATAAACCTTAACTGCATTCATTGTAATAGCTGTTGTTATTCAGTGATGACTGCAATGGAGTTTTCCCAGTAGGATTATAGCTATGCATTGGACCTAGATTTGATTTATTCCATTTAGGCACCGCCCAACGGCAAATCAAACCTTGGTTTATGTAACAGCCGAAACTCAGGTTTCTAGAATAAACCAACTTTGGCTGCGTTCGCCCTTCATATTATGTGGTTTGTTTGTTTTTTTGTAGTTTATGATATGTGATATGAACTCAGGCCTTTTTTTTTTTTTTTGGTCATGGCTGCGGCTAAGAGACGCGGCAGTCAAAACCAAACTAGCCCTCGGATTACGTTTCTACACTCCCCTTTAACCAAGTCACCTGAAAATTTAGGACCCACATTCTCACCCCATCCCAAACTGGGTTAGATTTTTTTGTTTGTTTGTTTTCCTTTGCTTAGTTTCTGGAGCAAACCCCTTCGTTCGATTAGTATCCAATTCAGTGTATTGGCGCAAGTTAGAAAAGGGTGAACAAGGGACCGAGTTAACTTTGTTGTGTGAACTGAACTGTTATTATTGCCCCCCCACACACACTTTTTTCCCCATAATTCTCTTGCTTTCAGGTGCTTTTTAACCTATCAGGCCTGCCAGAGTTTAGTCTACAGGAGATGCTTGCTCCGGGACAGCATCGCTCGCCATTCCACTTCAGAAGGTGAGTTTGGAAAGGCTGCCCAATCTGGGAATGGAAGGAAATAAAGGTGGATCCTATTTGAAACCTAATTGTAGAAAGTGGGTGTGTGCCTGCAAATAAGATCTTTTCCTCTCTTTATACCGTGTCATGAGAAAATCAAACTGCATGCCGGTTTTGTTTGGTCCAATGTATGTTTTGAAGAAAAGGATAGCTTTTCCAAAGTTCGTTACTCTTAACTTTCTGTTTATAAGCACCTCATTGCTGAAGCCTTAAGGCAAGTTTGCTCTTCACACCTGGTGCATCTCAAGTGCCTTTTCCTCCTTTTGTCCTTCAACAACATCTGTTCTCCTTTTCAGATCCTGAGTGGATCAAGAGGTTGCTGCAGGGGCCTTGCACTTTCTGCGACTCGCCCGTTTTCTAGAGAACAACTCAAGACAGTGAGCTTGAAGCAGTAGTCTTTAGGGGCAAAGCACCCCCCCCCCCAGCGTTGGATCTGCACGAGGGCTCGTTCCGACCTGTAGATTTGAACCGGAGAAGCTCAGCCCCTTTCCGGGAAATGAAAAGGTCTTTTCTGAAATCCCACCGCCGCTGTTTTTGAAAGGCTTCTGAACTCTCTTCAGGTTCAAGGTTGCTGGCATTCGGTGGGTTTTGACCACTAAGTTCTGGGATGGAGGACCGTCTTGTTCCACAAAGAGATGCTAAGCTGGTGGTCCAACTGAGTAGGTACTTTGTGATGGCCTGAGTGCAACACGGACTTTGTAACTTCCCTTCATTAACACCTAACAAACAGTGGCACTTGCTGAACTGGAGACAGTTAAATTATTACAAATAACGAACAGGTTTTTGAACTGTTTCGGAGGGGGGGAACCTTGCATGCCTGTGGTCATTGAAGAAAGATTAACAGCCCTGTGCGAAGCCTCCTTTGAAAAACTTCCAGGCAGCTAAAGACCCACTGAACCAACTGCAAGGAGCTTATTTTAAATGAGCCAATTTTGGTTGTGATTGTTAATATTTTAAGCATGCGTGTTTTTAACTTTGACTTCCCCGGCTGCAGTCAATAATTCTTGCACTGTCCCCTCTCCTCCTCGTAGGTTTTCCAAATTTTTCACTTAGCGACAGTAAAAAGGATCTTATCCTCCAGTTCCAACTGGCAAAATTCTTCTCTCTCTCCAGGATATTCATGGGGTGACTTATCTTGGCAAAGCAATGCTTTGGATGCAATGATGATGATGACAAATGTCCTTTGTTAATCCTGGGTTATCATGCTGTGCGTTGTCGGAATACACAGCCCACACCTTGTGTAAAAAATTTTCAGGAGCTCAGACCTGTGGCAAGCTTTTGATCTGAGCAATCCGGGGTTCTTTTAAAAAAATAGTTGTAAAAAAAGCCCTTCCATATAGCTCCTGACTCTAGTTAAGCTTTTTGTCTGTTGCTTGAAAAGCAAAAGCAGCGAATTAAACTGTGTTGTGGAGAACAGGTTGTGTTCCTACCCCCCCCCCCAAATCAAAGCAGTGTTAACGGGAAAAAATCTAGGCGTTCCTCTTTTTCCCTCCGAGATGATACTTGACTATAAATGTTGGGTGTGAAATAATAGTTGGAAAAATGTGTTTTTGTCTACTGCCGCAGCCACTGTTGTGACATAAAGCTGTTTGTAAATAAAGCAACACACAACTTTACTGGTGTGTGTGTGTTAACGAAACGAGCAGCAGTGTTGACTTCCCTGTTGTGTGATCACCCCAAAGAGCGGGAGGAGGTCTTGTGTGTTTGTGGTGTAGGCGGTGGCCCCAGGTACGACAAAGGTTGAGGAATTGGGACACTTTCCAGAGAAGAAAAATGAATCAACTGAAAACTTAAAATATAGCTGTTTATTCAGTGACAGTTTGAAATTCCAAAAACACGAAAAAGTAACCATCGGTCCTCACGTTTATGATCGTCACCGCATCCCCACAGTCAGGTGATCAGAATTTGGGAACCGACTCGTGTTTATGACGGTCGCAGTGTCCCGGAGTCACGTGATCCCCTTTTGCGATGCTCGGATGAGCAAAATCAACGGGGGAAGCCAGATTAACAATTGCAGTGATTCATTTAACAGCTGTGGCAAGAATGTTAATAAAAAAAGGGGGCAAAAAGTCTCTTGACCAATGTCTCGCTTAGCAACAGAAATTGGGGCTCAATTAAACTATCTGTAATTGCAGCGCTCCCCAGAGAGTCCCACTCAAGGCCACCCTCTTCCCCAAGGCTAATAGGGTGATCGGCTTGAATGCCTTGTTCCCTCCAGGATCGGGGGTACCGATTCTCCAAAATTAGGAAATTCCACTGTGGAAGAAAAAGGCCAAGGGGCCAAATCAAATCAAATCGTCGCCGTGGCTCCATCCTGTTTATCTCCTGATCTCCTTGGCCAGTGCTTTTTAAAACTGCAATCAGATGCTAATCAAATCCATCGCGGGTCCCAAATTGGTTGGGAAAGGTTGTTGTCCAATTATAAAAACCTAATTCCTTTTTCTTGCTTGCTGAACATTTGCTAACGTGAACCGGGGAGGGGGGGCTCTCTTAACTATGCAAACGGGATGCAAAGGCCTTGCGAGCATTCCCTGGTAATTAAATGAATGTCAATTGTTTTAGCGCTTTCCGAGGGAGCGTCATACACGAGTATTAGCATGGTCTCCTAACCCAGACGGCCTACACTTCAGGCTCAGCGGACACCCTTGGGGGGGCAACCGTTGACCCGAAACTCCGCGGGCGGACGCAGCACCAGCTGCATTTCAATGAGGCAGGGATGTTTGGCTGGATTTCTGTGCAGTCAGCTAAGCAGAACTAATAGCGGGCGCATATAGATGAAAGAAAGGGGAGGGAGGGAAGGAAGGAAGGAAGGAAGGAAGGAAGGAAGGAAACAAGAATGAGGCTTTATGGCTAAATTAATTAAGCAGATGTACCTGTCTAATTAAAGGCACGTCGCCGTTGTCCCTTGTACCCTGGCCTTGCGCACAGCAAACAGTATTTAAATGCGTGGCCAAGCCGTTTTCCTTATCAATATTTAGTAGCAGGACTCTGATGCAGGTGATATTAAGCAAGATGTAGTCCTCTATTTATTATTAATAGCCAGCCGTCCAATTTATGCACAGCAGTGTATCTTTGCCACCAGCTGGCGCAGAAAGCAGACGCTCACGTCAGCAGCCTTGCAGTCAGCGGAAAAGAGAAGGGTTACAAACCCTTCAGGATTCAGCCGCAGGGCCCCTTTGGGGGGGTGGGGGGGGGCTGGCGATGTGGCTAGGAAGGGGCTTAGTCGTTCACAGGGCCTAGAGGAAGAGGTCTGCCTAAGGATTCCCGAGTCCGTGCGTCGGCCTTCCCAGCGCAACCAGGTGAAGCTAATTCCGCTAGATTCTTACTCTAATTCTACTACACAATCTTGTAGGCTTGAAAGGACTGGGCTCCCGCTGTCTGTTCTACAGTCTGAGGCATGAGATTCCTTGCTCAGATTCTTCCTCCACTCGTTACGCAGCTTTGGGCTACGTGTCCTCTTATCTGACCATTCCCTTGTAGGCAGCATCTCTTCCTTGAGGTTCTTCTCACACACCGTTACAGGCAGTCCTCGACGTATGACCGCAAGGGAGCCCAAAATATGGGGCAGCAGTGTGCGGTGGCAGCCAAAAAAGCCAACACAGTGCTAGGCTGCATTAACAGGGATAGAATCAAGATCACGTGAAGTGTTAATACCACTTTACAAGGCCTTGGTAAGGCCACACTTGGAATACGGCATCCAGTTTTGGTCCCCACGATGTAAAAAAGAGGTTGAGACTCTAGAAAGAGTACAGAGAAGAGCAACAAAGATGATCAGGGGACTGGAGGCTAAAACATATAAGGAACGGTTGCTGAAATTGGGTCTGTCTAGTCTAATGAAGAGAAGGACGAGGGGTTACATGATAGCAGTCTTCAAGTATCTCAGGGGTGGCCACAAAGAAGAGGGAGTCAAGCTATTCTCCAAAGCACCTGAAGGCAGGACAAGAAGCAACGGATGGAAACTAACCAAAGAGAGAAGCAACCTAGAATTAAGGAGAAATTTCCTGACAGAACAATTAACCAGTGGAACAACCGGCCTCCAGAAGCGGTGAATGCTCCAACACTGGAAGTTTTTAAGAAGAGACTGGACAGCCATTTGTCTGAAATAGTATAGGGTTTCCTGCCTGAGCAGGGGGTTGGACTAGATGACCTCCAAGGTCCCTTCCAACATCATCATCGTCGTTGTTGTTTTGTTGTTGTTATTATTAGCAAGGCAGCTCTCCTATTAAACAGCCAGAAAGCTGTTGGGTCTCCCTGTTGGAAATCTAAAAGAACAGTGAAGGGGGTCAAAATTATGCAAGAGGAACGTACGGAGGTGAGGCAAGGGCTGGATCCTATTCAGCACTGTGTGTTGAATAGTACAGAGACCCACATATGAACAGCACAACAGTGCTAAATTAAAACCTGGAGACCGTACATAACCGGTGAAACCAAAAAGAATGGCATGTCTATAACATGCTTTCTTAAGATTCACCAAGCTGGCGCCAGAAAAAAAAAATCAACTTGAAAAGACTGGAAAGTCCTTGTCTGTGATTCAAGAAGCTTTTAATAATGCACGGTTTAAACCAAACCAAGTAATCAAGGTGGGAAGAAATGAGATTTCTTTTTCAGCAAACACAACAGGAGCCAAAGGAAGAAAGCTAGCCTCATCCAATTTTGGTCCGCTTAACAATCCAAATATTTTTTTTTAAAAAAACTTCGCTTGGGAAGAACAAAGGGATAAACTGTAATTTGGGGAAGGGGACACGTATCCTGTCCTTCCAACGTGTCGCCCTCCCTCCTCCAAAAGCAAGATCCCATGAGGGTTGTGTGAAAAGGGCCGTTCGGTCTTTTCACCCAGGAAGAGAAATCAGAGCAAACCCAAGGTAGAACTATTCAACTTTTTAAGAACTTCCAACTCATTTTATGGCTTTGCGTGGACTTCCTTATTTAGCAAACTTCAAATGACTCGATTTTTTTTTTTTTTACCCCCGTTTCTTCTTAAGATTGGGAATTGGTTTCTCAGCTTCCTTACTGCGGAGGCTGAGCTACTACAGGTCCCAGATCTCTTTGACCGGCAAGGGGTTGATCACAAAGCTCTCAATGTACTCGAATACCGTCTGCGGGTCTTGATCGCCATTGATAAAAATGGCGTCTTCGAAATATTGCTCCAGGTTGCTAGAAAGCCTGAAATACAGGTCGACTTTGCTCTGGATGGTTTCTTCCATCTCCTTCGGATTGATCAGCAGGCGGTCGTTGACTTCCTTGGTGAGGGCAGGTTTGTACAAGGTGTGGTATCTAGAAAGGGGCAAAAAACTCAAGAGAAGGAAGGAAGACGGGATGCAAACTTTTACATGTCGCTTGAAAACAAATCGGCTGGCTGAGGGCCGATTGGAGCAGAAAGAGGTGAACAACGGCTACACGCCAGTCAAAAGAGACAACCAAAACGCCCAAAAGGAAACAAAAAGACCCAAAACACCTCCAGACCCAGAAAAAGCATTTCATTGTAAGGAGGGCTATCTTCCAGAACCAGGGGATGGATGGATGGATGGATGGATGGATGGATGGATGGATGGATGGATGGATGGATGGATGTTCTGACTGACTGGTTTCCTTCACTCTCTTTGAGAATGGCTGTTCAAAACAGATGCAACTGGAAATGGCAACCTTATTGTGCCACTTTTTCCCCCTTGGATCAACCCATGCTGGTCTCTTCTTTGTGGTTACCTTCTGACTAGAGCAATTAGAACACCCTGGAATCTTTCTGAAATGCGGAAGAAAAGAGAGAGAGAGGGAGGCTCCTGTCGTGACTTTGTCAAGGTTTCAAAAGTCATCCAGGGGGCGATGGAGCAGGAAAGACCTCTCCCCTCAGCCTGAGATTTATCCAGAGTGGGCAACGTCCTTCAGATGAATAAAATCTTCTACCAAACCCCAGCCAGAATTCGAACCGGTGAGCACCAGGAATGTGGACACTGTCCATTGGTCTCTTCGGTTTCTCACCCAAATATCACCACGCCCCATTTGGCAAATCGTGGCTCCTCCACGCACCCTGCACAAAGCCCCCCCCTCGAGCAATATCGAGTAGTGCGGCTAACCTTTCTCCGCTGACCGGATCCACCATGGAGTAAGAAAGGCGCTCGAGAATGGTTTCAGCTGGGACGTTCAGGAAAAAAACCCTGGAATGAAGAAGGATGGAGATAAAAAAAAAAAAAAAAAACATTTGAATGGTCAACTCCGGTAGGGAGAGCTGGACGATGTTTTTTTCTGAGGACAGCCCAGTCCTTTGGAATGACTTTCCTCACTTAACAACCGCACAATTTGCTTAGCAACTATAACAACAACAACAACAGAGTTGGAAGGGACTTTGGAGGTCTTCTAGTCCAACCCCCTGCTCAGACAGGAAACCTTATACTCTTTGGACAGCTATTTGTCTGAAATGGTATAGGGTTTCCTGCCTGGCGGGGGTTGGACTAGATGGCCTCCAAAGTCCCTTCCAACTTTATTATTATTATTATTATTAGCAACCTGCCTCCAGAAGTTGTGAATGCTCCAACACTGGAAGTTTTTAAGAAGAGACTGGACAGCCATTTGTCCGAAATGGTATAGGGTTTCCTGCCTGAGCAGGGGGTTGGACGAGATGACCTCCAAGGTCCCTTCCAACTT